ATTGATTAATATTTCATACGCATAAAAAATTCGTTTTATTATGCCCGTACGATTTGTATCCTCCATCGCGTGCTTAACACATTCAATTTATTTTATTTCAGAAACTGGGTATAATTTTTAATTTAGAATTTATATAACGATCAAATAAATACAACAATGGATTAGTCACATATCTATTGGATTTTCCTAAACACAAAAAAACGTATACATAGTAAGGTCTGCAGGTCCGATTTCCATTGGTAGCATTAACATTGGTCTCGTATATGTAATACAATTAATATTTGAAATGCAACTATTCTTCGAACTTATTGATCGGAAATTAGTATGATACTAGTATTACTTTATTACCTTGAACTACATATCAAACTTATGTACGATCATAAGCTCGAATAATGTGTTTCAAACATTAATTGTATGACATACACGAGACCAATGTTAATGCTTTCAGTTTGAATCTCACCTGCAGGCCTTTCTTCTTATAAATGTTTTTTTCTGTTTTGAAAAATCGATATATGATGTACATTTCTTAGTTTTTCAAATAAATCTACAGATATTTCGTTGCGATGTTATCTTTACATCGTAATTTCAATCACCGTCATCACTATTCAAACAAGTTACCTTGACATGTCAAGACGACGTGCTATTCTCATACCTACAGAACTCAATGTGACAGTCATCCACCACTTATTAAGCAGTAAATATTAATTTGCTTTATGGGTGGCAAACTCTCTCTCTAATCTCCTGTTGAATGTCGAGTCTCACATCATACGAATGTAATTTTAGGCGATCTGTCTGCATGGAGTGAGTATATTTTACTGAGATTATGATGACTTCTTCACAAGTTTAAAAGATCTTCGGTAGCCAAATCATTGGATGTTTCTTAAATCTCCCTTGAAGTTCTCCAAGCTTCCCGGCTTTAGGTTCCTAGTAAGCAATGACATTAATATTACACAAGCAAGATTGTGGGACAAATTGTGTTGGAATAATACTCACCTAATAACAAACATAATTTCAAATGGAGTCTCTTTTTTTAAAAAAAATATGAGAGCCCTCTTTTGAGAATAGAACAACCAAATCATCCACCATCAATAGGGTTACTTTACTCCATACAATCAGTACGTTTGGCGAACAATTAGATTGTGATTTCTGTTTTTTCTAATTTCAAACAAGGAATGCCAGGAGACCATTTCGATTAGTTTCAAAATAGATTTGATGTCCACATAGTTTCATGAGACTTCCATTGTCGAACTTTTTATTTCTGGCTTGGATAACAGTTTTCTTGTTATTTCAATTTGAGAACGCTGCGACGGACCATTTACAAGGCATATAACCCGACGGTCGACTGATAAATGATGCCTGTCGATGCTATTTTTTTCATTTCAATCAGGATCATATCATCTTCATTTATGTGAAATGTTCAATCAGTTTTAGATTATTTAAAGATTTCTTTTTCCGCACGTACTTAAACTTGAAGTTGACTGCCATTCTTGACATTCAACTTTCACATTACCGTTTGGTCGTGATTGTAACGAAATTTTTACCATGATCATCGCTAAAGGCAGCAACAGCGAAATTAATACTAATCAGGACTTTCCCTGGTAGGAAAGAGACAATTCCTAATAAATTACGCTGTTGAAGCTGGTTTAACTTTTTAAGTAATCAGGCCCGTAGCCAAGGGGGTCGATGGGTTCGAGCGACCCCCCCCCTGGCCAAAAATCCTTCCAGAATCATTCAGTTATTCATCATTCTGAGCACATTTTAGTGATTTTGGCCATTTTTTTTACCAAAACTGTCAAAAGTGAACCCCGCCTGAAAATTTTCAAAAAGTGAACCCCCCTTGGCAAATCCTGGCTACGGGTCTGGTAATAGAGGTCACCAAAAGTTTCCAAAATGCATTAGTTAAAGCTTTGTTAAGTTGTTCTGTTTAAGAACCCATATTTTACTATAATGGAAAATGGAATCTAACCACTACTCTCCCACATATGAATCGACTTGTTGAGACTCGGTAAATTTGAGTTCTTCTGAGAAAATTTTACGATTTTATATTTATTCCGTTTTTAATTTTAATAGTAAGAATCGAGGTTCTTAAACAGGACGTTTGGCTTGCTTTTTAAACTTTTTGCTCAGTTTTTAAGGAAACATACATTTCACCATAGACCTTGACTACGTTCCGTTGATTCTAATCTTTGGTAATATTTGGATACTCAGATTCCCAACGGACTATTGCTGCGTGTCGAGCTTTGTTTAAAAATAAAATTCCAAACCGAGAGCATTTCTAAAAGCTAGACTATGTTGTCTAACTTTGTGCCAAATGATAATCCGCAACATTACTTAAATCGAGAAATCAAAAAACTCGTATCCGGGAAGTTCATCCATTTTGTTACATTGACGTTCCGCCAAAATAACTAGTTGTGGAACAGTGAATAGGCAAACATGTCTTTAATAATCATTGTATTTCATGGAAACATTACACAATTAATAATTCTAATAATTTAGAAAACATTTATCATTGCCTGCGACTCGTTGTAAAATGAGGAACTGAAAATTAAAATAAAATATAGCTCCAAAAAGCATACCGTTCAAAAAGTATAGTAATTTGAATATTTGATACGGTATCTATACCTTTGCTTACACCCCAGTAACAATTGTCAGAATACTGAAGATTCTTAGAATTACGTGTCATTGGTTCTGCCGATTGTCTCTTAAAACTCATCAATTACTCGGTTCTTTGCTAAACTATTAGTTAGTTATAACCACTGGTGGAATACAGTGTTATTCAAGTAACGCTTTGATCTGGAAGATTCGTGAATCTATATTCTAAAGTCTGAGATATAAACTAGATAGGAAATGTCTTTATATTGCAAGCGATCACATTTTTTTACACTATTACAAAGCGCCATCAAAAAACTCCGAGAGAAAGCGAGTGCATTAACATGTATTCAAGCGTACTCTTAATAAGTACAAAGATTTAGAAAATGACACCAAGACGTAAATTAGAAACCATTTGACTTGAAAAAAACAATTTAACATTGAATTGATTCTTAGATTTCAAGATGAAGAAAATATGATATGCGGGATAAGGAAAGGAGCATCTGAGTAATGAAAAGATACACTCCCCTCTCAAAGTTTGGAAACCGGTAGTTCCTTATTTGAGCATCTATCAATGCCTATGTACTGTACTAAAACTAATTTAGTTAAACTAAAATTCCGTGGCTAATAGTTTTCGTTTTTAACATTGTTGAAATATTTTAAAACCCGAGATAGATTTAATAAAACAGTGCCTTCATACCTTTTATCACCGAACTGAACTGAACAAAAATATCGTTAACATTGAATGAAATAAATTCCCAAAATTTCGCGACTATTATGTATAAACACTATTGGAATTTCGCGACTATTATATTTCGCGAAATTGTCAAAGCTCGCGAAACACGCAAAATATAGTAGCACACGAAAATTACCAGGAGTAAGGGTTCTATAATTGGCGATTTTCAGAAAAAATGATTAAAACATATAAAGCCTTTGATGTGCTGTCGAATGAAAACATCCGATTGCAAATTTTTTGAAGGCAGTGTATTAGCAATAAGTCTTTGTATATAATAATCTGGTCCCAAAGGGCGTGCTTTTCAATAAGTAGACTAATGGGATCCGTTTTGATTTACAAAAAGAATGAGACTGATTATTAACATGATAAACGGAGCGTTATTATTTCTATACAAGAAAATAATACTCTTATAAATGTGGACGAAAGTAAAAGTCATTTTCACTTCTTCTCATTAAAGATGAATAGCATGCCATATGATCGACTATATTATCACTTCAGGCTAGGTTGACATAAGGACCTGCTTTAGAATCTAAATGAAATATTTGAAGAGAAGTGGGCATTCGATCGCTAAATATAAAAAGGTTGGTGTACATCTTACGGCCATATCATTATTGATAAAAAAAACATCGATCATTATGACTAGTTGAATCATTACATAAAGGAATTGATTCAGTTGAATTGATAACTACTGGGTTATGTAATTCGGAAAAATGATAAGGTATGGTTTCATGCATGACTTCCCAAGAAGCGAATAGAAAAAAACATATTAGATCGATCCAATGTAGGGCCGTATCGATGACGTACGATGCATGCAAACAATTATCGACAAAATTGACAAAAAATCGATGCGGTATTCCAAATTTATCAGATTCAACACATTGTCAAAACTGCTGATTTAAACAATCACGGAAAACCGCAGTTTTGTTGCAGACTTAAATTCAATAGATGTGATTTAGTTTTCCTCGCATTGTCTCCTCTCTCGTAACAATGCTTGTTTCCACGCAATTCCTTTAGGGTCAGAATCTCGGAAGAGTTCCGATGCTCAGCAACTGATCGCGATGACATCCGAGCGGAATTTAAATTCTTCTTTTGGATTGGGGTTTAGGGTTCATATTCGGGGTTGAGGAACTTTAAGCCATGTTTATTTAAGGACCAAAGCATATACATGTACCTTATGTAATGAGTAATCTATCTCTAGATACGGAAGAATGAAGCAAAACAAAAACTACTGGAAACAATTGCAATATTTCATTGGGAAATAGCTTCCCTTACTTCTCAAGGCATCATCTTAATCTCCCCCCACGTGTCTATTATCTTTGTTGAATTTTCCTTTGAAAGGTGCCTTAACAAGAACTACATTAGGAACTGATTAATAGTCAACCAAGAATAGTAACAAAACAAAGATATGTTCGTCCTGGGGCATGATACGCTACATTAAATAGATCTTTAGAAATCAAAGAAATAGATCTCTAAGCGCGTTGTATCAAATGAAATATCTTAACAAGGAAGACTTTTACAAATTAGTTAACTGGATTCCTTTCCTTAAAATCTAAAAATTGCAGTTACAGTTCCAAAACACTTTCGAGTAAAGTAAAGATAAAACATGTTTAATAAATATATGTCACCTGTAGTTGGAAAACACTGAGAATTTAGGTCATCTATTTTTCTATATCGCATGTCAGCCAAAGGTCGATTGCAAAGTAGTGTAGATGCAGGCATGTTAACATGAATACTTGCGAAAAAAACTTCAATCAATATTTGCGTATTACAAATAGATGAAGAATGACGTTGCAGTTTTTGAATGAGCTTAAAGTACATATAACCTGTAGAAATCTATCGAAACGTCGTTTGAGGTTATATTACTATTCATATAGTTCGATATAACACTAGACGTATATTGCTATATATATACCGTATACCACTGGGATTTTGAGAGACGTGCCAGCGAAAATTTCAAAATAGCATGTCTAAGCCAGCATACAAGTTAATCTACTTCGATGGAAAAGGAAGGGGGGAGCTGATACGTTTGATATTCATTTCGCAAAATATTAACTATGACGATTCAAGAGTAAAAATGGAGGATTGGGCAGCACTGAAACCGAGTATGTATTAATACTTAAATACACTCCCCTCCACAAGTTTTGCAACGGAAGTCAACTCTTAAATCACTTATTAAAATCCGTTTATGTTAGATAATTTAAAAAACATCGAACTGTTCCAAAGTTTTGCATAAAATGAACAAAAATATAAACTTGTAGAGAATAACCATAAAACAACAGCGAACATTCTGACATCAATTCCAATGGCAAATTAGGCCTGTTTATAAAACTTGATATCGAACGTGCCAATACCAACGGTCATTTTTGAGACCCCCCCCCTCCCCCTGAATACTGAATGAAGATAACGTGTGTTTTAAAAGTGAAAAATAGGGTTGGGAAGCTATTTGGTTTTATTGCGATGCAGTCACCCCTGACTGCGTTTTGAAGTATTTTTTATTACAATAGTCGATATTTTGAGCAGGTGTGCAACTTACTTTTCAACTTACTTACTAACTAACTACGGGAGCTATATATCCAGTGTCTCTTCTTTTTCTAGAAAAATAACCACATACAGACATATGGTTCAGTATTTTTCAAGATATAGAGATTATAGCGATTTCTTACGATTGTGTTTCATGGACAACCTGTAACTTTACAAAAATTCATCGTTTAGTAATCTTACACAATTTGGAAAATGTCGGGCTTTATATATTATGAAAAATTAATATATCTAATCAGACACCAAATTCAACTTTTTCGTTGTCTTTTCAGAAACTCCAACGGGTCAATTGCCGTTTCTTGAAGTTAGAATCCCACAAGAAGATGGGGGAGAAAATGTGACACTCCTTCCAGAGAGTATACCAATCGCTCGCTTCGTTGCAAACGAAGCAGGTACACTTTATGTTACATTTTAGTTTTTGTAGGCCATTTTATATGCTAAGACTGTGATATGTGGCGTTAGCATATGTGACCAAGGCATAATGCTGGCGACGCTATTTTCATAACACTAACGGGCAGGGTGGGTGGCAGATGGGTGTATATGTGTATTAAAATCTCGAAAATGGAAGGTCAAATGGGGTCAAAAGTAGGTCAAAGTAACGTAGGGTTGCGCTTTTTTGCATATTTTTTACTTTTTTAATAAAAAACAATATATAATATTTTCTTAGCCAGAAAAGGGTGATAAATGTGATAGGACAAAAAGGCGTTTGTATATGCTTTTCCTAGATCTTGAGAAAAAAATGAAATGTCGAAAAAATGAGAATAAGCATATCTGAACCAGAAGTTGCAGCTAGCATTGACCAATGTTCATGATTTTTTGCATCTGATTATAGATGCTACATGTATCTATTGGTACATATCAACCTATTACATAGAATCGAATTTTTTTCTTCTGTATTCACGTTGTCTCGATATTCTGTATTGGCACTCGACTTCGTCTCGTTCCAATACGGAATTTCTCGAGCAGAATATATCCTGTATTGCACTTCAAATCATTCAATAACTTATAAGAGTGCCTACAATTATTGAGTTGATAATGTGGGAAGGGTGAAATGTTAGAACCATATGTCTCATTTCCAAATGGACCTTTAATTTCCATTGTTATCATTAAAGCCAGCGAAACTAGATAGTTATTGATGAGGGTGGGAATGAAAATAGTAGGGGAAAGGTCCAAGGGAGGGGACATTTTCAATTATTGATATTGAGATTAAAGATATTTATATTTTACTTGCTTGATGATGAGGGTGGGGTTGAGGTTTTTTGTTTTACCTTCTGTGTTATTTTCCTTATTTGACATAAAAAATTGAAAAGTAGTTCTGTATTATACAGCAAGAAGATCATAAAATTGCGTGAAAATACAAACTTTCGTTATTGCGATGTATTCAATTTTGTATAAACATATTTTTATTGAATTAAAAGAGCAAAAGTCTTTTCTGGGTCACTGCGAATGGCATGATTTCCTCGAGTCTCTTCAGTTGCAAGGCAACCATACTGGGACCGATTCGCGTCGTTCCACTACTGCCCTTGGTGGGGGCCCGCTACCATACTGTATGACTCCCGGGGTCTACTAATGCACGTTAGTGGAGGAACCAACCACAGTCTCACAATCTGTCTCCAGCAAGAGCGGCTAGAGAACCAACCCATGCCAAGGGCCAGTAAACGGTTGGACCTTCGGACCGGGTGTCCGTAGTGCAATGATCAAAAACTCCGTACCTGGGGCTCGAACGCGGGACCTCCGTATCCCACTACGTTCGACCACGGCGTAACCCCCTAACCGATGAGGCCACACTGCTTAGGTGTCAAAACTGCTCAAAAATGTAATAGTTGTTTCAATAGTTTTGCTTGGATAAACACGTACAAGGCTATAATAATCTTATTTTCTAAACTATTTGTTTGGAATTACTTATTTACTAACTAAATAACTGTGATTACTAACGGAAATCACAGCCCACGTGTGTAATTGGCTACTTCGCTTAAATGCGCCTTCAGATACCCTATGCTACAGGACGAGAGGGAATTCGATTAAATAACATTTTAATTTTGAATCAATCAATTTTCAGTGTCCACAAACATTTGAGTCTAATTGTTTCTATGTACAGTCACCACAACGCGACATTTTGGGGTTAACGAAGTTCGCGTACATTGTAGGTGTTCGAAATATATATTCATGTATCGTTCCAATATTTTGGATCGATGTTTGCTACGGGTACTTGCTTTCAAGATATTTGCCACGTTGAAAGCTTACATGTACATTGACTTGATACTGGACTAATTACAAAATTACATAAAATGCAATCGAGTTTACGAGTTCACGTTAAATAGCCTATTAGCCTTATTTGGTCAAATGAAATTTTTAAATGATGCAAGACTTGTATGTTCGAGGGTATAGTTCAATACTCTACAGGTGTGTGTTTATGGCTAACGATATGAGGTAATTAATTTGGCCAAACAAGCCACTAGTCGGCTAATGGTGTTCCTGAGTAGGTTTAGGTTTCGATTTCTTTTCATTCACGATCATATATTGACGTTATTTACCAAGGGGAAAAATCCGACGATGAAGTATCAGATTTTGTGACATTATTTTGAGGAGAAATGGGCTTATGAAGACATTGTTGTATGTGCAATTGCACAAATATTTTTGACATTTAATTTCTTCATTTTTTCGACCAAATTACCTATCTCCAGATCGAGGAAAGGTATTCACCGACGGTTTCTTGTCAAAAGGGGAAGATTCTATTTCTATCACATTTAGTACCCCTTTCTGGCTAAAAAGCGTTAGCCTATATGTTTCATTTTTTTATTGTACAAGTAAGAAATACGCGAAAAAATACTTGAAAAAAATACTTGAAAAGGGGGGCAGACCCCCCCCCCCCCTTGTCAATTAGTGTTATGAAAGATACGTTGTACACATTAGGGTTAAACCTTAGAAAAATGATTATCAAGAGAAAAACACACAATTTTGGCAGATGAATGGGTCTACTGTACATAGAAATGCAAATACAAACATCAACAACTGTTCTTTGTTCAGGTATTGCTGGTAAAACTAATCTCGAGAAAGCCCAAGCAGACATCATTGTCGATACCTTGACCGAGTTTCTTCATGCTGTATTCGAAGTTATATATCCTGAAATAAATGTAAGTCTTTATTTCAGCTCCCCTTACATATGAACGAATCCACTAAACACAGTCTTTCGAATAGCATTTGAGTTATGTTCATTCATATAACTGTATGTGCATTGAACAGCGTTGGGGGTCGTATGTGTAAGTATATATCCCTTTGGCAAGTTTTGGATGCTAAAATATGCGCTTCTGTTCGTATATTTACATACCCAATCGCCAGAGTTGACAATTTATCCATTTTGCAAGACTGCGTTTGGAGGATTCGTCCATATGTTAGGGGGCCTTAAAGCCTTAAAGGGCTCCCCACATGAGTAAAATTAGTTTCCATTAGTTTATGCATATCGGGGTGTTCGTATGTTGAAGTTCTCTTTTGGACATAGACATACAAGTACACATCACTGTCTTCTATACTAGTTTTTGACCACTCAGTCAAACACCCTTGATTATCATTTACGCAAACAAGCAAATTAAGTATTGCCTGAACCTGGAACCGAATCCGGGACATATTGCTGCGCTATACGGGTAACCTTGAAGTCCTTAACTTGTATTTGCAGCCCACTGCCCTCGCAGCTGTCATTGCAAAGGAAGGGACGAAAGCTCTTGGTAATGTTCAGAAACTTTTTGTATCGAACAACCCCGGTGGTGAATTCCTGGTTGGAACGGAGGTATGTCATACGATTTCATCAGCACACGAAGGGTTTAAGAAGTAAATGATATAACGACAGTGTCTTGATTTCAGAACAACGTTTATTGTTTGAGCTTCGACCAGAAGGAATGATATGTACATGTACCACGGCCATTTGCCTCTTCTTATTTAAATAACGGCTCCTGAAATATTGGGCAGGGGTAAGCCATTCATCCGTGTGTGATACATCATCAAAACAGGACCAGGATGGTTAGATCATAATTTTTAATAAAAGTGTTTTCCCGGTTATTTCCCCTTAAATCAATTATGCTTTACATTAAATACGAGTATGACGAAAAAACATATCTTTTACGAATTGGCGAGGTTATCGTTCCTTTATTTCGACTTCACTACTTGTATCGCGCATCTGTCAATCCCTTTCATAAACCACGTTCAATCATTTTCTTTTAATTTAAAGAATCTGGTATAATATTTTCATTTGTTACAGATGACATGGGCCGATATATGCTTCTTCAACGTGATAGACACCCTATCAAGTTTCGGAGAAGACGCAGAGAAGATTTTAAATAGTTACAGCCCGAAACTTATGAGCATATATAAGTGCGTCGCTGAAAACCCGAACATAAAGAAGTGGCTAGAAACACGACCAAAAAACCCATGGTAGAAGGGATTTCGTTTTGTTTAACAGACTTACGCAATCAAACTGCTGAATGGACACTTCTTAATGCTCAAATGTGACCATGTGCATATGGATGTTTACGTCAATAGGGTATTTCACGTGCACATGGCGTGTGTTCATGGAGAAACTTATGAATGAATAGTGACCAAACGTATTTTGAAAGTTGTCATAATTCCACTAAGTTACAGTTACGCAGTGGTCAATTTTGCTCTGATCTTCAACACCATCGCCCGACCGATGAGTATTTTGTTCGAAACTGAATGCAATTTTGAACAAAATACTCAACTGCCGGAAATCGGCAACGAAAATAGGAACAAATGTGACCATGGCATTACTGTTATATTTCTTTTACGATTTACTATTTTTCATTTAATGCAATAAACGATCTAAGCGTAATGTTTATTAATAGCTGGTATTGTTTGTTGGTTCGTCCCTTCCTTTATCCAATTCGTTATTAGAAAGAAAGTCTTCTGTGCGAATCGCCCATACTAGGCTCGCTTTAAGAATGTTGTTGACTCGATCAAGACGAATTATCAAACCTAATCAAGAAAGGGCCTGGACGATTTTGTACATGTTTTCATTTAAAATAGAAACCTATTGTATCTTGTATGAATACTATATTCTAGTGTATGAACCAATAGTTTTGATTTAACGATTTTAATTCTAAATAATTCTTGTATTTAATGACTTCAGTATGAATAAATTTGTACCTTGGTGTTATGGGCTCCGATTGTTATACTGGTATGGTGGGAGAGAGGGATATTCAGTCTTTTTTCTTTTCATGTTTGATCAGGGGGGGGGGGGCTAGTTAGTATTTGTTATCCTTTTTAGTGGTGTGCGTTTCTTTCATGTTTTATTTTCCTCGCGGTGTTCTGTAACTATTTTTGATCCTTTCCCATTGGCTTTAGAAGTGTCATATAACTTATGCATACATATTTTTGTCGCAGGTACACACAATTCCCTTTAATCATTGGTATGATCTACATGTACACATATATAAAAAATCATTGAATACCCAAACATGGCTCTTCTATAAAACATCACGAAATATAAGGTGTAATTACAATTAATCACTTCATTTGATGTTAAACCAAATGCACAAAAATACAATAATGTATTGAACTCCACCGTCTTGAAACACATTTTTGAAAAAGGCTGTTGCCTCTGCTTGGTTTATCAGAGTGAAGATGAAAAGTAAAAAAAAGTAAAGGACATAAAGCAGGTCATATAAAATTGTACAAAGATTTCGTATACTTAAAGGTCGATTATTATCAATACTGAGAATGGTAAATGATTCATGTATGAATAATCTCAGAATTTAAACAACAATGGATTTTTCCGAACCAGAGTCTATGATATTTCAGTATTGACTTCTGCTTTTTCCTTGCAATTGTGGTTAAATATCGGAACAAATCTCTAAGATACATCATAAAATGCACGTGTTTTCGGCCGAAATAAAGATGGCACCAGCAGAGTCGTATTAATCTTCCATAAACACAGATTGATTCACATGCCCTCTTTGTTATTCATATCGCATATTGTCACATTTTGCCTCAATTTTCAATACGGCGCCCGGCCGATTGTATATTTTGTTCAAAAGTGTATTCAATTTTGAACAAAATGTGCAATCGTCCGAGCGCCGGCCGATGGATCAGAGCAAACTTGACTCCGGCATTAGCCGCTGTTTAATTGCATTTTAATTCACAATAATTCAGCCGTTTGTACCTATCAAGTGACGGTGATTAAAATAAGAATTCGATCTGAGATTTCAAAACTATGTACCAAATGGTCAATTACCCGGATGTATAAGTCATATTAAAAGTGAATACGATCATCGGTGTAAAAACACTTCAGACGAAATCCCCCTTTATATTTACATCGTTTAATTAAATTATTTTAATTAAGATTTAGTGAAATACCATTCAAACGATGGTTTCTTTTATTTACATACAGATACTTTATAAATGCATTAATCATCTATTAAATAATATCCCCAACCAATAGCTGTCCAGCTTAGGTGATATGTACAGAGTATGACCTATACTCTAGATCAGTCCATTTTAGAAGATAACTGTGGCATCTAGCCATCTACCGTCAGGGATCAGGTCCCTGTAGTTGTTGCTGGCTGTGACCACTATATAGTCTTATACCCTGTGTCCCCTACCACAACGGGACACGAGAGCTAATCCTCCCATGGCCCACGAACACAGTAACTGAACAGGACATTGCCAGCTTGATCAAAACATTATATAGAATTCCCTCATGATCACAAGCTATAATGACCATATATAGGGATACTGGGAAGGTCACGCTATTGTTGCTCATCCATCTCCCGCTCTGAAGAGCTCAATGGCCAAGGCGTCCCCTCCCGAGGATATTGTACCATCTCTTGCCGTTCTGGATTCTCCACTGCTGATCCGTGACGCTTTTAATGTTTTTGAAAGCTTCCTTGGCCACCCCTTCACCCTACACACACCGAGCAACTGGTTCCACTTGATTATTGAACACTCGAGTCACAAATCAAAACAAAATGTGTAAACCGTTTCTAAAACTAATTCTTAATCCGGTCTAAAAGGGTAGGTGGTCCTATCAAATTTTGGTCCTACTCTCGATTGATTTATGTGGTGACCTAATTACAATTGTTTTTCTTATATATTTATAGTACAGTCAGTGCCAGTAAGGGCCGTAAGGAAAGGGGACCATAATCCCCAATTTACTTTTTACCGGGATGCTCTCCTTGCAAAATAAGATTTAAAGAAATTGCAATGTTCGAGTTCCAAAGGAGTCTTCATAGTACAGGTTCAATATTGGTCTATACCTTTTCCCATCTCATGTAGGGAGACGGGCTCGGATTTTATAGCACACTTACATTCTTACCAACCCAAGACACGTTGAAGGCCGTTTTTCTCCCCTGAATTTAGTTGTTGTTACTACACCTATAAAAACAAATTAGTACACATTGGACTTTGGGGAAACTCATCTATTGACCTTTACCTAAATTTTAAAAGCAAATACTTTTAATAATCATGCATCCTACTGATGACACTTGGTGAAATCAATAGAATAATATATATAAAGATGTTTTATTTTCGGATATTTGTGTAAAAAGATGCGTAATAATACAGTATTTCCATTCAGTATTGTAATTATTATATTATATTATGAAGGAAAAAAATATAATCAGCATAATATACTATATTATATAGAGATTGATATAATATAATTAGAAATAAGTGAGATCCAAATATATTATTTGTACATATAAACATTTACCAAATCCGATTATCTCAATAAGAAAATGTAGCAGGATGTTTTATTCCCAGTATAATATTATTTTTTAGAATTATTTGCGCCAATTTATATTTATTCTGTCTTTCTAAAATATTATTTGGTCATTTTTATCAATCCAAACTGATGATTGCAGTTTATATAGAATTTTTTCCATTCTAAAAAAAATATTATTTTCTAGTATTTTCCCATCTAAGCAGAATATATCAAATTATATTGTATTATTTGGGTTCTAAAAAATATTATACTCGATTATTCTCGTCCAACTTGATGTACAATCCATCTGGTTAATTACTTAACCAAACAAAACAAAGAATGCACAGCATGGCATGGTTAATAGGATCAACCGTTCTACTGGCCTTCTCATCTCTATAACTTACACATGTCACACTTATTTTATTTTGATTGTTATATTTCTATTTGAAAAATATTTACAAATAAATGTTTAGAAGAAAGAAATTTAACTTGATTGAAATTAATGTTAACAATGGATGAAAAGTGTGAAAAAGTCATCAATTAAAAATCAAAAAATTAACTTTCCAATGAGTTAATCGATTCAATCCAAATTTTAACACAATATTAATCATAGAAAGAGGGATTCTATACAATAAAACAAATATGAATGATTTAATTTGTAAATTATTATTTTTTGTGGAAATTAGAACAATCGGCTCTAGATATTAATCCATTAACTCCAACAAACGGATTAACTTTCACAAACAGATTAGTAATCAGTGAACAAAACTCATCTCATAGAAATTGAAAAAACTTAGGGATTAAAGTTTTACTTATATTGCTCTGAATTCAATACATGAATGTGAATGATGAAAATCTGCATGATTTTGAAAGAATTGTTGGCCAAGGGGAGGGGATCGTTACTCGTTAGGTACAGGCCTGTATTAAATACGTAATGTTTTTAGCTTTTTAAACTTAATATGGCTGACAAACAATGGAGTGAAAATGTGAGGAAATCCATTGATTAAAAATCAACTTTCCGTTGAGTCAATCAATTTAATCCAAATTTTAACACAATGTTAATCATAACATTAGGGACATTATACAATCAAATAAATATGAAAAACTGAATTTTTGAATTATTTTTTGTGAAACTTAGAACTGTTGGCTGTAGGAAATTAATCCATTGCCTCTAACAAACGGATTAGTATCAGTGTTAACGAAACTCATATTAAAGAAGTTGAATAATTGGGGATTAAAGTTTTACTTATCATATTGGTCTGACATACATGTACCATAGTATGCCAATATGTTATTTACATCAGTTTGTTCTACCATGCACCAATTTGCTCAAAGCATAATCATCGCTTTGTCAGATGAAACATTAAGAATAAATGTAAAATGTCCCCGCTTCTTTATTTTCATTATCAAACAACTAAACATATTGAATATGTATTTGGAAATGGAAAACAAAGAAAGGTTAATAAAACCAGCTTTAATTAAAAGAAATGGTCCAATTGTAGTAGAAACAAATGTATTCCATCATGGACTAATCTGTTGTTTTTATCCCTGGTTTACATGTATATCTCAGATATTATATGGATAACAGAAAACATGTGAATTGTGAAATGTGAGAGAATACGAGTTTTAATTTTGTTTTAGCATGGACCACTTGTATCAGTTAATCTAATGCACGTTTCCTAATTTATTATCAGTGATTTGCCAGAAGAAATCGGAGCTATACATCCAATATATTACAGGCTCGTAATAAGTTTTAGCCCAGGGGATCAATTTTCAAAACAAACCAAGGGGTCACAATTGATAATTTTGGCCCAAAATCACTTACCAGTGCTCAGATTGGTAAAAAATGTAGGATGTTGAAAGAATTTTGGCAAGGGGGAAGGGGATTTACTTGAACCCAACGACCCCCCACCCTCCCTGGCCATGGACCAATACCAAATTCGTAATGTATTGATATATAGCAATTTCGTGTCATAAATGTTTTGTGTTGTTCGTGAAGTGATTAAAGGTGTTTGTGTAAGAGGGGGCTTTAAGTGTTGTTTGTTGTAAACTTAATTTGACAGAGAAACAATTGAGTTAAATTGTGAGGAAACCCAATAGGGTAAAAATGTGAGGAAACCCATTGATTAAAAATTAACTTTCTGTTAAATGGATGAATTAAATCCAAATTTTAACACAATGTTAATCATAACATAAGGGACATTATACAATCAAATAAATATGAAAAACTAAATTTGAAATTTATTTTTCAGTTGAAATTAGAACCAACTGCTGTAGAAATTAATCCCTTAACTCTAACAAACAGATTATTTATCAGTGTGAACAAAACTCAAATCATGGAAATTGAATAATTAGGGATTAAAGCTTGTTGCTCTGGAATGCCAATACATGTATGTGAATGGTGAAAAACTACATGATTTTGAAAGTATTGTTGGCCACGGGGAGGGGGGTCCTTGGCTAAGGGTCTGTATAAAATGCGTAATGTGTTTATTGAATATTGAGCAGTTCCGTGTCATGACTGTTTTTCCGGTTGGCAAAGTGAATACAGGTGGTTGTTTGTACCTGTGTAAGAAGGGATCGATTTAAATGTTGTTTGCTATGAACTTAATGTGACAGAGAAACAATGGAATAAAAATGTGAGGAAAACCAATTAATTAAGAATTCAAAAATTAACTTTACAATGAATTAATTGATTGAATCAAAAATTTAACACAATGTTAATCATAACATTAGGGACATTATATAATCAAATATGTATGTAAAAACTTATTTTGCAAATTATTTATGTGGAATTAAGAGCCATCAGCTGTAGAGATTAATCCATTAACACTAACAAATGGATTAATTATCAGTATAAATGAAACTCATTTCATAGGATATGAATAATTAGGGATTAACGGCTTGAAAATAACAGCGTATAATCGGTTTTTGATTGCAAATGCCAACATATTATTTGCTCCTGACAGGAATATTATTCTATATTATATGGTATTATATGTTGTTCCCTTTAAATAATACACGAATAATATTATTAAATCAAAAATAATTCTTAAAAATATGTATTATATTTTTTTCCGCTATAATAAAAGAAATAACTGCCTATTATACAGGAAAAAATATTCTCTACGATTCTCTCTTAATGCAACTTATTTAGCAGTATATTAAACATTTTATTCTATATTATTTTAACTATTTTACCAAGTGTGAATTAATAGCATTGGTCATTTGTACAACTCTCTCTCCCTGGTTTGATGCTAAAAGCAATCAATCTAATAATCATGTAATCAAATACATTACACTATATAAGTGTATTTTCTTCTGAAAGGTACATATAAAATGCCGTTTTATATTTTCTGTTGTATAATAGTTTGAAGTTGTGCTTACATGTCACATAAAAAGGCATCTCCCCAGAGGCACGTACAAAATTGCCTAGTTCTATATTTTCAATTGGTGTTGTATTAAAGTATTTATGTTATGGGACCATTTACTAGTACAGTTGGGGACAAAAATAAATGACAGGTCGATTTTCGATCACCATTTCCTAATTATGGTGGTCTGAAAGCCCATAATTTCCAATATTGTCTAGATACATATCCCTTAAAATTTGTATATTTGACATTTTGTATAATCTCATCCACTGATTCATGGCCTCTTGTAAATTCTCTTATTTTTAACATGGGAAATCCTCACTTCAGCAAATCCACCTGTCATTTATTTATGTCCCCAACTATATACGGGCATTTGACAAGGTTTCTGTAGGCAATTCAATTCACTATTTGGTGATTCATTTTAGCATGTATTGTTTATGAACTATATATTTCATGGCAAGTTTGAATGTTCGTGATCATAATAGGCAGTGCATGTTGCTATTTAAAGGTAACTGACAAATAAAGGAACTGAATAGCGGACTTGGGCCCTTTTAACCCTAGAAGTCCTAAGTAACAAAAGCTACGCGAACGCCTAAAACGCCCAAAATGACCCCCTCTTCCACTTGTAAAATCGTTATTAGTAAAGCTGCAAAGGATGTCATAACTTTTTCCAGATATACTTCACTCAATTATCAACGATATGGTGTAATAACCTTAACAACTATGTAATATTTAATAATTTTATTCCAAAGACAACACGTATGATGGAATTAGTGATTTTCCCAATTGATTTTGTCCCTTTGAGCTGATGATTACATCATAATAAATTGATAATAAATTAGTAAAGCAAGGATGTTCAAGCTTTTTCTAAATATACTTCATTCAATTATTGTATCTACTATACGATGTAATAACATTAACAACTATATGATGACGTAAGATTGGGTAATTTTATTCTAAAGACAACAGCTATGGTAGAATTGACGCTAGCTTTTCCGATTTTGTCTATTGAAGCGGATGATTACATCATTATAAATAATAAATTAATTACCCTATGTACAATTCTTCTGATTTTTTCAAAGAGCATTTGTTATATCTGTAGGTTCAGCAACTTAACATTTGAAGATCCTACATGATTCCTAACAAAATGTGTATATAGTTACTTCATATGATTATATTACATATTAATTGTATTAATCAGGATGACAAGATTTAAAACTGTAACTCCACTTTGAAAATATTCTATCATCACAAATTTTAGACTGGATAATTAACTGAAGGAACACATTACGTTAACAGTAAAGAATATAACTGCGTTTATTAAAGTTTTGCCCGTTTAGTCACGGGGAGTATAAAATCCCCCCTCTTTTATATTCTCTATATTTAAGTGAGGTTACAATAGGGAGGGGGTCCGATCAGTGAGTCAGATAAATCGCGATATCTCATTCACCTGTACGAACACTGAATGTTTAGTAATGCCTGTTAAAAGCCTCTATGGTTTAAACAAAGAGTCAACACTTGCTAAATAGAATACACTAATATTTGATTATCACAAATAAAACAGAATGACTTGCAGTTTTCAACTAAGCCAAAATGTACATATAAACTGGAAAATCACATAGAAACATCGATCGAGGTTATATCACTATTCCGGTAGTATACGGTATAACCCTAGATGTATACTGCTTACCGAGTAGAACTGAAGCCATCGGGATCTAGTGAGACATACCGGGGAAACGACCAGAACAACATGTCTAAGTCATACAAGCTAACGTACTTCGACGCAAGAGGAAGAGGGGAGTTTATTCGGTTGATATTCAATTCGAAAAATATCAAATTTGAGGATAATAGAGTAAAACAACCAGATTGGCCAGCATTGAAACCAAGTGAGTATTAAATAACTTGTACACCCTAGGCTTTCATAAACGATCTAAAAGTAGATTTAAATTTCCAGTTGCCAAATGTATTAAGGGGAGTGTACAGGGTGTCAAATGGCGTTGTGCCCCCCCTCCACGGCATAAACTAGGAAAGATACACACACATACCATATACCATTGGAAAGAGCATTTAATTGTTGTTAACATGTGGAAAGATGACAATTCATGATGGAAAATAAGATATATTTTTCACTTACTTTTAAAAGTGAGTATGACCCCCTTGAGCAGCCTTAACCGCTGCCAATCTAGCCGGATATGAAGCTAAAAGGGATGTATGTCCTCCCTGAAATATTCTCCCGTCCATGAGACACCATCATCCTTTATTACCCACAGCATTTTTTTCACAGTGAAAAGCAGAAAAATCCCTACGCAAATTGGTCGCGCCATCTTCTCACGGATTAGGAGTTCAGATACATCCTCTCGTTTGTACGCCCAAATCCTATCATTTTGATGATTAGGCTTTCGTACTGTATAGATGTAAAATTCGTCTGAGGGAGCCAAGTGGAGAAAATCGTCCTCGTCCCATTGACGGAGAAAGTTCACAAACCACAGTCTGTCCTCAATCTGTTCTGTTGTTTTCAAAGGTTTCGAAATAATGTGAAATGGTTTGAGCCCCTCTCTTACTCTGAATAGATGAACCATTTGATGAGAAACATCTTTTCCTCTCAACCTTTTGATCTCTTTTGAAAGTTCTCTACAACTTTTTCTCTTCTTAGCAGTTCCTTTTAGTATTATTTGTGTTGTCTTGGGAGTCAAACTGTTTGGCTTAGGTCCTGGTCTTTCCTGTGGCGTGATTTCAGAATATGTTTTATTCCAGTATTTTTGAACAAATTTTTCAGATCGATGGAGTTTATTTGCTATCCATTTTTTCGTAATGAAACTAGCACCCTCATCTCTGGCTTCTCTATATGCAATACACCTTATTCTGTCTCTATATTGCTGATTATCATCATCAAAAAGTTGTTTTGTCATCTTTATTTCAACTGTGAACTAGCTTTAGTCTAAATAAATAAAATAAGGCACTACACTTTACAGTCAGCCACTTCTCAAAAATCAATGAAATAGAGCACTACACTAGTACATTTCAAATGCATGTGACACTATGTAGCAATATCTGACCTAGGTCATCTAGGGTTTATTTTATCCAGAATTGAATGCTCTTTCCAATGACATATATAATGTGTAGGTACCTTTCTAAGTTTATGCTGTGGAGGGGGGGCACAACGCCATTTGACACCCTGTACATGTATATAAGAATATATAAGATATTTTCTTATTCCTGAAATCTTAATATTATGAAACACCAAGTGTATTTTTACTTACAAGTTAGGTATACGTTATAATCTGTACTATCACGTATGTGCGAACTCTCTCTAAAATCTTAATAACTAAACAAGACTACAAGACTGCATTACTTTATGTTGTTGTTTTAGAAACTCCAATGGGCCATTTGCCAGTGTTGCAAGTTGGAAATGTAACTCTTTCAGAGAGCATCACGGTTGCTCGCTTCGCTGCAAATGAAGCAGGTATGTCTAAGTCGGACATTTGTTATTATTCTTATTTACATTCTTAAGATTGTTATAGATATCTTATGTACACTCTCAAGATATGTAGCTGCTTAAACCACTGTTTACATATTGACAGACAAATATTAAACTGAAGATATCTTCATTGTGTAAGTACCCGGATGATATTATAGTGTAACACTGGACGAAATACATAAAACACTCAATTGAGAAATAGAATTTAAACTTGTTTTCAAACTCATTATTAAAACTACCTATATTTCATGGTATGGTAAATTTTTTTCTTAATATACAGTACTTAAAACATAAACCCGGTGATATGATGTCACACAATAACTCAAGATGTATTTGACTTTACAGAAACTAATGATTCCAATATTTATATAATGTACTTTCAAATGTTGCCAAACTTTTAAACGGTACATGTAGTGTGTAATCACGCATTCTAAAGATGTAAAATGTTTCATTTTCAAAATGCTGCCGATCTTTTAAACGGTAGTATGTAATCACGCATTTAAATGTAAATTATTTTCAAATAATGCCAAACGTTTAATAATAGCGTTTAATCAGGCAATCAGATGTTATCCTTTTTATTTTAAAATGTTCACAAATTTTAATCGGTAGTGTGTAATAACGAACAAGTATTCTAGAGTTTGCATATTTTCCAATGCTGCGCAACACCCTGTTAACGATATGTAATGTAAAGTTACAAATCTATATGTAAACAAAAACCTGTTTTGTAATCAAAGAATGCGGAAACAAAATGTGATATATGGCGTTATGTGTTTCAGTAGAGCATACAACCGAGTCAAAAACACGGCGAGTTTGCAAGATGGACATCTTGTTTATATCCAAACAATCTGCATCGTATTCTTGAATTGGTTTATCTTATAATTAACTGTGAAAATGTCATCTTCATCTACTGTTCTTTGTTTAGGTATTGCTGGTAAGACCATTCTGGAGAAGGCCCAAGCAGATATGATAGTCGAGTCATTGACTGAGCTTATCACTGCTGTATTCAATGCAGCATTAAGCGCCGGCAGACCTGATAAAGTTGTAAGTAAAAATGAAGTCCATTGACGCCCCGGGACTGACGCATCTTGATCGCTATTTCATATATTAAGGGTTTGAACTTTCTGCTAAAGTTATGGAGAGTGTCGAATTTTGGTATAAAGTATAAGAGAAAGGAGCATATACGAGCATCGTATGGGTCTTATATATATGAGTTACATGTTGGTCCTTTCATTACAGCCTGCTGCTCTTGCAGCTGTCATTGCGAAGGAAGGGAAGACTTCTCTCGGTAATGTGGAGAAATGTTTTGTGGCAAACAACCCCGGTGGTAGCTTCCTGGTTGGAAAAGAGGTACGTACAACATTCCTAAGCGTGAATGGTTTAAACCAGATATGGTATATCAGTCTACACAAGGGGCAATCTGCGTGAGGTTCCATTTTAAGATTAGTTTTTTGCGCATGAGCATCAAATCCAGCAATTTTATTGGTTCACATTTTTATAACGCATGCGCAATGGATAACTTAATTATAACTTGTAATTAAAGATAGATTTCACTTATGTTCATTATTTCACAGCAGTCCTTACCCATAATGCTCATTATATTGCGGGAATATTGTTTGGAAAAAACAAAATGTATGCTTCCAATAGAAGTGTAATGACAGAATCAACTGGCCCCTAATTTTCGGACGTTTTGGTCAATTTCGAACAGTTGCGAAGGACTTTTTTTAAATTGCTGCGTTTAATGTAATAAATATGTTGAGGCAATGTCTCGACTGAAAGGTATTTCTGTGAAGGTTTTAATGGAACAAGTTTGAAGAAAAACGGTGTAGTGTGAGACTCAAAATCATCGATTTTCCAAAGACAGGGTAGATTTGAAATTCAAATTAACGGTTTTGCGGGGCGTTTTGGTTTCGATACGCCCCGGAGAGTTAGTACCGCGTGTGAACATACTTAAACCAAATTAATCCCAGAAAGGCAATTTGTAAATCATGGGAATGAAGTAATTTCATTAATGAAAAACCGAACCAAGTAAAAACCGAACCTCGCGCAGATTACCCCGAATCTCAGTCTCTCACCTTCCACAATATCTAATGCTAGAACAGGATTTAAGATGCGCAAACTGAATGCGCAGTAGGTATTAACGTACAGCATAAGGAGCCTCATTAACAACATTGTTGTCTCACTCTATGTCTTTCATACTTTTGTCACACCTGTAGATTCAACAATGCATGCGCATGGATATAAATTTGTATCAGAAATCATTTGAAAATTACGAATTGTGAAAAAGACGATTATTTATTATTAAATACTTACATTGTTGTTTCATTGTTACTTGACAATTTATTCTATGAGTTCATATATATATATATATCAGTTATTATTTATATGATATATGATTGAATTAGCCCAATCATACCACTAGATACCAATTTTTACAAATCGACTCGATTATCGTCCCTATATTTCGATCATTTGTTATGCGCGCCAATCCCTTGGTTTATCCATTATTATCAATGTCTCTCAATGTAAAAGATCTACATGTGTAATCGTATTTCCTTTTATTACAGATGACATGGGCCGATATATGCATCTTCAATGTAAAAGATCTACATGTGTAATCGTATTTCCTTTTATTACAGATGACATGGGCCGATATATGCATCTTCAATGTAAAATATCTACATGTGTAATCGTATTTCCTTTTATTACAGATGACATGGGCCGATATATGCATCTTCAATGTAAAATATCTACATGTGTAATCGTATTTCCTTTTATTACAGATGACATGGGCTGATATATGCATCTTCAATGTCTCTCAATGTAAAAGATCTACATGTGTAATCGTATTTCCTTTTATTACAGATGACATGGGTAATCGTATTTCCTTTTATTACAGATGACATGGGCCGATATATGCATCTTCAATGTGATGAATTGTCTGTCAGGTTTTGGACAGGACGCGGAGAAGATCTTAAACGAGAACAGCCCAAAACTTTTGAGCATATATAAGTGCGTCGCTGAAAACCCAAATATAGCAAACTGGGTGAAAACACGACCAGAAACTCCATTTTAGATGGGATTTTGAAGTATTTTGTTTTATCGGGCTCAGGCATACGCTATGGATCTGCAGAGTAGAGACTTCTAACTTTTCAAATGTAAGCTGTTTGTAACAGTTTGCATGTATCACGGGGAACTGTAGATCACTTGTTTGCACGTACAAACGTGTCACGAAACGTATCTATACATTTAACATAATTTACCTAGTTTTCTGGATCTGGTATGTTTTGTTTTACGATTTCTTTTATTTGTTTTATTAAATGCAATTAAAAATCTAAGCGTAGTGAATTTGTTTGTTTATTTATTATTAAAATGACGACATAATGCCAAAGTATTATAATTTTTACCAATGTCAATGTCGATGTAGACCACATCGACTAGACATCCACAGGGTGAGCCAAAAATGTAAAACAAACAAATATTATTAACCCTGTCTTTCAACATGGATTTAATATCATAGTTAGAACAATTAAACCGTGGTCAATGTTCTTTCATAATATTGAGGTTTATGTCTACTTTAAGTGGTCACGATTTTAAGGCAATTTTAAGAAACATGCTCCAAATGCGGAAGATACCCACTCTCAGAAAGATAACTGTTTTTGCGCAAACGATAAATCACACATCTACACAAGCTATTTGATGTATGTACTTACTACTTATCTTAGTACATTCTGTAATTTGATTTGTTTGTTGAAACCGTTTCTGTCCTTTTGGCCTATCGTAATATAGACCTCATGTATATTCAACGATACCTGGCTAAGTACAGGGTGGTCCAAAAAGGGACACTCGTATTTCAAAAATAAATATTGATTTCCTTGAGGAAAACAGGTCATATTATATACCAATGAATAGGGAATTTACTCATCTTTAATTTGGTATATCATAAGTTCAAATGTATTATAATGTCTGTCAACCAGCGTCCATAATATAAATGACGTCATTTCGTTTCAAAACGTGTTTTCCAAAACTTGCAAAAACCAAGTTTTATTGTCTACTTTATTTACATAAACAGAAGTTCAAAATGTCCGCCATTTTGATCAATTGTAGTCCTCAATTTTGGCCTAAACTGGTCAATAGCATCATTATCCGATATGACAGACGGTGGCGTTGTATCAGAAAGTCCTCCCAGGAAATGGTTCAATACTGTATAACAAACGCGGGATAAAGATTTTACATTAATGTATTCAAAATGTCAAAAAAAAATATTCAAAGCACGAATACTATGGGCTTTAACATGGAAGATCCGAATCAAAGTTTTATATATTATAATTATGGTATGACAGAGATCGTGATTTATAACGGAATATTGGCAAATGTTTAGAAATACGTTAAAACTATAAACGTCATATCATAACAATATTGTGCACTTGTAACTTTAATAGTGTGTGCTACTTTAATGAGGAAATAATAAAACAAATATTGAATTCTGTGATCGTTTAATATCTGTGTATATATTTCTTAGGGATGTATTCACCTCTCCCTTCGCCCTTGTATTGTATTTGAGATTGTAAGGAATAGTTGGTATGTCAATAGTATATGTAGATCTAATTCTGCTTTTAATATCAACACGACTGGCTTTACTTCCTGCGAAAGCTATGTGGATTTTGATACTATAGCTTTCCCACGACACACTTGGGCAGCTCAATAATAGTGACCTTTAAAATATGAATAAAGATTTCAGCGGCTTACTTTTGGTCTCTAACTGTGTCTTACATCAGTATCATTAATCCGTGCAAGTATTGGAGCGCTGAAATACTTCTTTTTCGATCAAGACTTCTAAATTGTTCATCGAGTGAATGTTTTTTCGACCCATTTCCAATATGGCGGTTTGCTATATGAGCGAGATACGCAACGAACGAAATGAATTTTGAGAATGATTTAGGTTCGGACAACTCCGGAGATTCACGGAAATGTCCGAGCCGAAAACGCCATATTGAAATTTGGCAGTAAAAACATTCACTTGACTAACAATTACAAGTTTTGATCGAAAAGGAAGTAATTCAGCGCTCCAATACCTGCACGGGAGGATGATAATGATGTATAACATAGTTAGAGAACAAAAGTAGGCCGCTGATCCTTTTGAGAGCCATAAATTTCAAAATCTAACATGGCTCTCGAAGTGAGTAAGACTGGCTATCATGATCATGCGATATATACTGAAAATATTGCTCATTAATTCTTAAAGACCCCATGTAAAGTTTGAAAATATTTTTATCGTTCATTTACTATTTGTCATGACTTGAAAAGTTATTTTAGAGATTTAAAAGAAGAATTTTTGAAAAAAAAGTTGTGAGCATTTCATTTCTCAAACATTCATACTTTTCGCCATTTTCAAAATAAGTGAAATTTTTTACTCATCAAATATTTCTTCATAAATTTCAAAAAAGATTTTTAACACCAATGCAAAGATTGAACAAAGGACACACTATTTCAATAATAAAATGCCATATTTAATGGACCACTTCAATGTTTTAGCATATCAAAAATATTTTGCAACAGTAGGTGGCAAAAGCTTTTTTCTCTATGTCAATCTTTGCTAATTATGCTAAACTTTAATAATACACCAATGTTGATTGTCTAACCAGGTTAAAAGGAAGAATATATTATGTTGTAGATATCATTGTGCCATTGGTTTCTTTGAGAACTAAAACTTTGAAATGCATTTTTCTCTGAACCATTTTCATTTTACATTTTCAGTTCATTTTTCGCTTATTTATGAACCGATTTTTTAAATTTTTTAGGCAAAAAACATGCGAGGATGAATGCTATGCATTGTCAGAATCGTGGCTTACTAAAAGATACGTGTGACCTCAAAAAGTTAGTTTTAAATAAATTCATGATTTCAAAAAGTCCTTCAAAAACCGCTTTTTGAAAAAGTGTCATATATCACACTTTGATAACATTGGGTTCTTAACGATGATTTTTTGGACGAAAATCAAAGTTTGTTAATATAAACTCAGACAACATAAAGAAATAAAGTATCATATGCTTCAATAATTTCAAACTTGTTAATAAAGTATGTTTGCAGCCAGCTCTCAAAAGGGATTTGCTTGATATTTCATACTCATAAAAAGAACACGTTTTGATTATGTCCATATGGTTTGTATCTTCCAAGGGCTGGTACGGAACGGAATCATTGTCCGAACTTCCGATTTTGCCATCTGAAACGGACTTTCAGACCTACCTTCTCAAATTCCGATAATTTTCGGAATTCTTATTTTCCTTAAAGAACATTCACTTATCGTTATAGCGACACGCTAACTGGCTATAGCGAACTAGTACTATGAAACGAAATCAATAAATGTATGTATAATATTCAACATTTTCACTTGGTAAAGTTGTTTTATATGTAATAGATGATAGAAATAAATAAAGTATGATTGTTTTATATATATTCAGTACGTTTAAGGTAGGATATTGTTAAAATATTTGAATGTTCCAGGATTCCGTTTCATTGGACTTAACATTTATGAAGTAGGCATCATGGCGGCCGAAACTGTGCAAATAATGAGAACTTAAGGGGAGAAGTATGAACTATTTTAAATGAGGTCCGAAATTCCAAAAGTTCCGAATTCCGAAGCCAAGTTCCGAAGTCCATTCCGTTCCTATACCGTTCCGTTCCGTGCCATTCTTTCTGTCATTTAAAAGGGAACCCCTAAGGGCACTTTCTTGGAAGCTCCCAACAAATTATCAATCAACAAAATATCAACAGCGTTTATTTCAGCAATGTGTTGTGGAATACAAATCATATGGACATAATCAAATATATTTTGTTTTATGTTTCAGTATATTTATTACTTTATTCAATGTCCTTAGCCTTGACTATGTACATTTTGCAAAATAGATAACCAAAAGGGAATCACGCTGTGTTAAAAGCTACAAAAACAACGATTATCAATGCATCCAAATGGAAAAAAACACGCGTGGGTCAGCGTGATTAAATCAACACAAATTTATTCATATAACTTGAATCCGAGGGAACTCGCGTGGAGACACGTGAGTAGAAAAATATGAATAAAATCAATATATTTGAGGACGTTAAAAGTATTATCAAAGGGTATTTTTTAATTTAGTTATTGGTCACAAATTCATTTTTAGACAGACTCCTGATCCATTATTGTTTTGATGTATGGGTGAAAATGTAAGATAAGACCAAAAACATAACTAGATCAAATTCTCCCTCTGATTCATTGGGATGACTTCAGAATGTGATACAGTCCTTAAAGAGACAATAATGGCTGACAAGGCATCGCGCGGTTGACTGTCGCATTATTGATACACCTTTACCAAACATAATCGAGTGTTTTAACTGAGGTATTAAAACAACAGCAGTATGGAACATTACCTCCTTTTGTTCCATGGAGATTCGTCTTAGTTTGCATTTTAAATTAACTAAGTTCAAATTTGAATTTTCAAATCTCAGCCCAACAATTTTCATAAAATTCAGTGAATATAAGAAAAAAACAGCAATAGTTTTCTCCTGCTAACCATTGCGATTTTGGTGTTTTATGGATCATGCTGTCGGCTTCGCAAATAGATCACGACCCTTTAATGACTTTGACACACTTATGAACTTCAAGAGCGGACTTTGTTTCGTGGAATGGCTCAAAATTTGACTATTCATTCACTTGTGTATATTAAACTTTTGCATATTTTATAGATCTTTGTAAAATCGAACACAATAAGATAACGATGTGCTGTTTGACATTCTTGGCATCCTCAAAATCAAATCCCATAATATCAGTTGACAATTTGTTATCTTAATGTGCATACATGTATTAAACAAATACTGGATGACCATGAGGTGGATATGCCAGAATACCTATCCGAGGAAAAAAATACTAGGCGAGGCGAAGAATTATTTTATTATGCACCTTCCTTGAAGAATACTTTATTTTAAAGAATGGGTCCACTAAAACAGAAGCCAAGCCTAGTAATTTTTTGCGAGGATATGTATTCTGGCATACGGGATGGTTGAAGATCTCGTTGCTTTAATACTGGATAGAACGAGATCTTGCTGCCACGTATGACAATAGACCCTGCACCTCTTAACCAATCAGATTTGAGTATTTTAATGAAGTGCATACAAATTGTTTATACTGTGAGTGATAAACTCTTATTAAATGCAAGCATATATGCTTCGTAGGAACAGAAATTAGTATAGATTTTATAAACAATCGTAAATTCATTGTATATTACATTATCCTAAAGAAGTCGTCCCAATAAGTAGGTCCCAGGACCAACATTTTGCCCAAGCCAAAAGTCGAAAAATGCGCTTCTCAATTCTATCAAACCTATCGACCCATTGCAGTTGGTATCAATTGATTCGAACCAGTTTATCGGGAATTCTTCGTGCACTCCAAATAGCCCAAGGAACAGTATGTATTCATCCACAGATATTTCCTGGTCTCTGTTAACAGCAATAAGTTTAAAGAAGCATACAGCAATGTAATCGAGAACCTCTTTGAAAACCTGCACATTTTCTTGTTTTAGGTTCATACAGATATTGTGGGTAAATTCGTCAAAATCAACTGTTCGCGAATCTCCGATATCGCCTCCTCGAGTTGCCATCTCTGCCCAGAATATATTCAAAACAATGTGTTCGAACGCTTTCGTAAACGCTGAAATTTGGCGGTAAAGGACAATAAACGGGATGTTTTGATTGATACGTGTGAGTAATCGGCAAAAGTCAGATTTCCGGATAACGCCATTTCCTTTTTTATCAATTGTATCGAAGAATGTTTTCATTTTTCTTCTCCACAATGGTGACAATTGAGTTTCTTGGCCATCGTGCACGTGACTATTTGTTGACTCTGCGTTGCTGCCCATTGTCTTCAGGGTAAGCTTCTGTAATACAAGTTGGTTGATAGAAATAAAGAAATAATTTAACTAATTTTTTCTTTAATTTGAATTATAGGACTTACATCACCATGAAGAACTGATGTGTGAGAAACCTATTAGAAGCTGCCATTAAACAATACATTATTGTACAAGAGTTAAATGAGGAGCAATTCAGATATAACATATATATACAAATACATATATAAAATAAAATAAATTTTACCTTGGCGCAAATAATAGTTCCTATCAAACTGGGCATCCAACAAATGTAGATACTGTGTAAAAGTGGACACGGTCTTAATGTATACTCCTCATCGGAATATTGCCATATTTGCCAATGAACTGCGCCAAGTAGAACATATTTAGCGAACTACAATCAAAGCAGGTCACCAAACAATACACTATAATCGTACAAGATCAACAAACAATGTACTTTAATACTGGGTAATTGGTTATAAATAAGTAATATACCAAACTCATACTATTTACTTATAAGCATTGGAAAGATTCATCACCGATATATTGTTACATAAAACAAAACAAAACTGGTGCAAAAACGTATTTATTAATTTATAACTGCCATGATTGGCACCCTATGTTGTATGATCGTGATATTCCAGGAGAAAAAAAATATAACATATGAGCCAGGCCACAGGAAAAGGGGTCTTATTACAGTTTTTTTCAATATTTTGATTTTTTGTTTATCTTAAAAGGCACAAAGAGACCTTTCAAATGAGCCATGGCTTATGTCTTAACAATTTTTTCTTGCAGATATAGACCAAAAGACAGATTTGAATTTAGCATATTTTCCTCTTAATCTTGAGCACATTTTTGGCTCTATAGCACAATTTTAATGTTTGTGATAAGACCGGTTTTCCTATGGCTAGGCTCATATATAATCATTTATGATAACCTTTGGTTGGCTGGCTTGAAATCAAGACAATTTAGTGAATACTGAAAGGTAAAATAAGGTGAAATTAACGGTTGACCATAATTATTTTTTAAACTATGAATTACTACTAACAGTTTCTTTTTAGTTGTTGCCAACAAAAATATCCCTCCCTGTCAATCTATAGATGAATTTGCAAAATAGGAGAAATGCACCCTGAATTACAGACGATACATTTATTACATAATTTCAATATGTGTTTAAATGTTTGCATTTATACGTGCCTTGTAATGTCTACTATATGAGTGGCTTGGTCATTGGTGAAACATCTTCATTGTACTAGCTATAAATCAGATGCACTTTTAATATAATAGGGAGTTTTTAGCTTGCAATGTTTTAACAACCTAAACGCGAACGTAAAATATTTAAGTAATGCATTTGTATGGGCAGTTGGTCGTACGTATAGGTTTTCTATGCAAGCTTAAACTCTCTAATATTTAAGCATGGATGCAGCTAAGCTTTCTTTGCATATCCTGTTTATAGGATATGTGGTTTGAAAATTGCCCTCGATCCTATAATAAACTGGTATCATTTATCAACAAAGGATGGATATCGATATGGTGAACTTTTTGAACACACATTTCTCTTAAAGATTCGCGCAATCTTTATCCAATCAGCGTTTGCGATGTGTATCGGCTCACGTATAAAAGGCGAATCCAACTCCAAATCCATGCAGGGGTGTATGAGGTACTCGAATAGGAAAGAGCTCGTGAAATCTGAATTTACATGCACATGGTCAATGTTTGCACATGTTTGGAGTTATTGAAGAAAATGTGATATGGGGGTGGTTCCGAATTTGAAGTCATTGCTGGAAAATAGGATTTTAATACGTGAAATTATATCTATAAATAGAGCACTAAAAATAACAGTACACATGAAGTACATGTATGGTTGTGTCCAGAAATGTTTGAAACCCTTACGGAAAATTCTGTCTGCATTTTGTCACCATTGCTCTTTCTTCCCGCATTCTAGTGATATTTGAATGAATATATTTATTAATGCATTTCTAACTAAAATATATCACATTTTTTATTAACCACAAACATTTAGATCATAAAAAAATTATTCAATACTTGAGTGAGCACGATATGCAAGGGTTGCTAAGTTGACACAGTAATGACCACTGATGTTGAGTTAGTCCATGCACACAGCGTATTCTGCTAATACACATTTGCTAACACCCCTCACTTTCATAGTGAAGTGACTAATTGGTTTATGTTTACGTTTTAATGTGTTTTGTGTTCCTTCTTACAGCAAGGGGGGCCAGTACAGTAGACTAGTAACATGTTTGCATGGCAAGTTTTGATCGAATATGTGAGACACTTTAAACCAGTCATCAAAAAATTCTGAAAACTTTACACATTGTCAATTTAATGGTCATCTTTTGAATGGTAATAATACAATTTGAAATAAATATATATACTTTTCTCTATATTGTTTTAGAAATCACATCAGACACTTCTTTTGTTCTTGGTATCATATGTTCGGAATGAAATGAAACATCTATCCGAACCTCGTTGGATCAACAAAACGACATAAACATGTTTAGGTCTCTCATGTTATAATTGTACAAAGGAAAGTTTGGTTGCTTTAAAAAGATTATCTTGTTAATGAAATAAAAGGTTTATCTTAATTTCTATCTATTTTGTTTTTTGTTTTTTTATTTTTTGAAAACGTTTTGTTAAATCAACCAAAATTTCCTGTGTATAACTATAATATTGAGATATTTATCTACTATTTAATGGCCAACTCATTTAAATATGAATGAACGAAATAGTGACAGGTACTATTCATATTTAAATGAGTTATCAATAAAATAGTATGTTGATTCGGAAGCCGGCAGGCGTTAGTTGCATTCACGAATATAAGCTTAGCTGCAAACCCTGTAATATATTGCAGCTAAATGTATAAATGTATTGTATAGTCGTCAGAAAATGTCCTTGAACACGTGTGTGAGCGTGAACACACGTGTTCAGGATCACGGTTGATAAATATCGAATTTCAAAATGTCCATCAAGATCTGTGACGCAAACTCAAGCAGACGGACGACTAAATATAGGTTTTCATTGTATCCCTAAGTTAAGTTTAGCAAATTACATGATGAAAAGTATACAAATGAAAATGGGATATTTTAAAATTATAGCGCCGATTCATCGGGTAGAGCCCGACCGATTGAGTAATTTGTTCAGATTTGAATACACTTTTGAACAAAATACTCAATCTACCGGGCCCCACTCGATGCATCGCAGCTTATGCCTAAAGTCGGAGACATTAATAGACCTCAACCATCAAAAGTTGTCACAATGAGCTAAATTCTAAGTTTCGTGTCCCAAACTCTCCCAAGTGGTAGAAAAATAATTCCCGTATGAATCCAAAGCTTCATACCTGCAAATGATGGATAAATTCCTACCAAATCGAATAAATGTTTTCATGAATCGCCATGTTTGTGATCCAATAAGAATTGACTCCCAGAATGCAACATCAGTTAACCTTGTTTACTCGTGACGGGTTTCAAAATGGCGGAACGGCATTTTGAAAGCTGGCATTTTGGGAGCCAATCCTCCTTGCGGCATAATCGGGCTCCAAAATCACCTCAACATTTGAAGAGTCGGTATTAACATGTAAATGTCCACTTCCTATTTGTCATTATGGACACACATTCCACAATGTTTGGACTAACTAGAGCGGAGAAAATAGAGCACTGAATACCATCGCAGCAAATGTGACCCAGGCATGAATTTTGAACAAAATTCTCAATCGGCCGTGCGCCGGCCGGTGAATCGGGGCAAATGTGACCGTTATATGTGGCCATTATATCAGCTAGGCATTAGGCTGCACTGTTGTTTTGGCAAGTAAAGCTCAGAATATAAGTTACATGCTGTAGAATAAGTTTCAGTCAGTGCATGTGCGCGATTATTGCAATGAAGTGAAACAAACCACTGGGCCGAGGTATAACCTTAAATCTAGAAGTTGTGACTCCAAAGCAGTCAACGCAGCAATGGTTGAAAAATAGGGATCGAATTTAGCCATAGTTTTCTTCTGATTACCATTGTGAATTACTTTGTTTTATGGATAATGGCGACGGCTTTTGTGAATGGATGTTGACCCTTTGAAACCCATATGGACTTGGAGACTGGATTTTATCTATCCCACATCATTTGAGACTGAATGCTCTATCTTGTATGTGTACTTGTATCTACAACTATTTTTGATGTTATGAGTATTGGCTATCAATTTCAAATTTTTCCTTCAATATGTATTGTAATGACTTCAGTATGAATGAAATGTCCCTTGGTGTTCTGGTCTTGGATTGTGATATCGGTTCTTGAATGGTGGGGGGAAAGGGGGTATTGGACATTGTTTCTTTTCACGTTAGATCATGGTTTTGGGATATATGGTGTTTGTTTTTCTTGACTGGTATGCACTTAGAGTTTGCTTTTTCTTGCTAAGTTCCATTACAACTTTTGGTCCTTTAAATTTGGCACATGTGCTTAGATATTGAATCAGTTCCTCACTTTATCGAATGCATCACGATTACAAATTTGATATTGATAAGTATGATAGTCCATTTGGGTGTGGTCATTTTTATAAAAAAAAAAACAATAATGGTGAAGAATTTTTTATTTCTGACCTGAAAATGCCATCTTAATTCAAAAGTCATTGTTGTTAATGATAATATTCCTATTTTACCTATTCAATGTTTTCAAAATATTTAATTACCATTATAGTCATTTTTGGCAAAGTAAATAATTATAGAACTCACACAAGGATCAACTTTGTTTGCAATTTTTTCATATTTAGTGATGTTTTGAAAAAATATAAGGTTAAACACAATTTTATTTGTTAAATGTTTACAGGACTGGTGCTGGCATTTTGTCAATTCTGCACCGAGTGTCTTCAAATTTTCACAAATTTTATTTTGAAGTATTGCAACTAAAATTGTAAAGTTTCAGATAAAAACTGTGCACCAATCGTCTTCAAAATTGTATATCATGTACTCCCATGTATTTTAACTAAAATTACAAAGTTTCAAAAAAATTATGAAACACTGGTAGAGTTGTGGTTACTATAGTAACATGACATCACAATACCCGGGGCAACTTTTTCATGAAAATGTGATATCTTTCATTTTTGTATTACTGAGGAAAGCATTTAATTCACCTCTTACAATACAACATTTCTTGTTTGTTTCATTAGTTGCTTTGTTGTAATGGTGTTGCTATACAACTCAGATTCAAGTATGATTTCATGATAATAATATTTATTCAATTTCCTGGAATATCACTCTGTAGTGTATGACAGTATAATTATTGATTTTTTAAAAGACCCAATTTGAATAAGCCAGTCATCCACCTTGATAAAGCGCCTGCCTGCAAGTCAGTATTAAAGACCACTGCAGCTATAGAGGAGCTGGGTCTTGAAGTCTAAGACCATGCACCATACTCTTCTGATCATGTAATATCCATTTTTACTTATATGGAGAATGGAATGCTAATCAGCACGGTAAGACCTTTAAAGATGAGAATGACGCTCTCCAAGTTGTCCAGTTGACCATGTGTGACTTGTCCTCAAATGGGTTCACTCATGTGTTTGAGTCATGGAGTGGTACTCCTCTTGTACTGACCAAAGAGGAGCCTATAGCTACTTTTCAAAGTAGAGGATACATACAATATCAAATGATGAAAAGCAAAATGTAATTCCCACCAGTTGTTGCATTTCAACTTTGATATGGGATGTACAAAACTTAAAAAGTCTCTGTAAGAGTCTCTGTAACTTTCTGTGTGGAATGTTGCCCCGGGTATTGTGATGTCATGTTACAATAGCAACCATAACTCTACCAGTGTTTCATAATTTTTTCGAAACTTTGTAATTTTAGTTACAATACATGGGAGTACATGATATAAAATTTTGAAGACGATTGGTGCACAGTTAACAAAATACCAGTACCAGTCTTGTTACTTTTGGAACACCCTGTAATGTGTTTATTTCATTGTTTCGACTGAAAAATCGCAATTCATTGCTCTTCCTCTTAGAATGGCAGAGGATATACAAGTAAATAAAAAGTTTTAAAAACGTCGATCATTGTGTAAGCCCTACACAAATTTAACACCAGTAACTGAAATAATGTTTATTCGGTGGTATAAAAATCATTTCAAAGGTAAAATAGGAAGAATATCATTGACTTTGGAATAAAAAGCATTACATGTATATGGTCAGAAATACCCAACTTTTACCATAATTGTTATTAATAATGTAACCATATCCATAATGGACATTCTTTACATTTTAATAACCAATGTGCATTCTATTTTGCATGTTTTACTGCAATTATTTGTAAAAATAGTTTTAAATCTTACATTTTTGACTGGAAAATGAAGAGACAATGATCAAATATACTCATATTTGGTTATTTCACCCAAATAGATTCTGGATTTTTTAGTCCATGCATATGAGGACACGTGTTTGAATTAAATGGTCATATTATTTCTTTTTTGATTTAGCTGAACATATGTTGAACCTGCCTTGGCCATTAAACGTTAAATTTGCTTTTTTAGATTTTTGGAAACATATCCGCTTACTGATCCAATGCAGAACTACTAGAGAAAGTAACTCTCGTGAAAAAACTTCGTCAACTTGTTATTGATAATGTTTGTAAACATAATGATCGAATGTATGACAGAATACATTGAAATTGAAAATATAAATATATGAAAATATATCTGAAATATTATTGATAAGATCCCACCTTGTCACTTTTTGAAAAATATTAGGCCATCTAAAAAGTATTTTTTCTTAATTTGAATTTATATTATCAAAAGTTCTTTTATGCTAATAAAAGTTGAAGAAGTTGGATTTCAATTGCCTTAGAACACCAAATTGCTAAATATTCACCTTGGAATTACCTACACCCATTCAGTTGATCTTTACCTCAGGTCACATAATCATTGGTTGTGAAGGGTCACACCATCAGCCAAATGTCTTAAAATGCCAACTACCCTAGATATTGATATTTTTAACTTGAAATCACCCTGACTTCTGACTTATGTTGATCATTTTATGAACAAAAATGAAACATACTAAGTTGAAAACTGATCTTTTTGGATATAAAATTGCTGCTTATGTTTCAATACTAAGGTATGTGTATTGTAAAAGTAATATTTAAATTGAATAAACCAAATGAAATAGACTTAATTTTCCATCAGATTTAGAAAAATTATAACTCTTAAGTAAATGTTGCAATGAATGCTCACACATATCTTGTTGCATATCAATCTAGTGGAACTGCTACAGGTATCACTCTGACACGTGTCTGTGAACAAATCAAACTTCTAAATTGATGTAATGCAAATTGGTATCTTTTAATTTGACGTCCGTTGGATAAACCATCAATACTAGGATTGTCAAAACTTGCATTAATAAAATCAATTCCTGTCTCATCACTGCCACACCCATTACTACAAGATGATGTCTCTATAATCACTGTACGGTCAGCAAGCTATAAACTAAAAAGTATCAAGATCACTGTCTGCTGCATCACTATAAATATAGAGGGTTGTCCGGCGGAAGTGATGCACTATTTGCTCGTAATACTTTTTTATTCAAAAGTCAATGATATTATTCCTATTTACCTATTAAATGATTTTTATATATCCGAATAACCATTATATAAGTTTTTGGTAAAGTAAATAATTGTAGGGCTCACACAAGGATCAACTTTTCGAAGACTTTTTCGTACTGGTGTAGACTGTGCACCGAACGATGCAACACGCGGGGACATGTGCTGGACTGACCCAAATGTTCGACAAAAAATTGAAAAGGCCAGGCAGTGGTGTCGTTTTAAAAATATGAATAACGACAGAATCACAAAAACAATCCACAACTGGTCCTTAACGCAACCACGATCATGGGACTCTAAGGTTAAGCTGGAATTACAACAGGAAAAAGCTGATCACTTTTTAACGGATGACCATATCCCATCAGTGAAATATGAAATTAAAAAGTATAGATCTGACTTAAACTCAAAACAACATATAACTTGGCACAATTCCATATGGAACGACTCCAGGAACCAGGAAAACGGAAATAAGCTAAGGACATATCGGCTCCACAAGGTACACAAAACAGAGCCTGAACACTATCTTCGCATTAGCCTTAACAGATATGAACGTGCAAATCTGGCAAAACTCAGAACGGGTACACTGCCACTGAGACTGGTAGATACACTGGTGTCCCTGTCAATGAGCGTAAATGTATGTGTGAGCGTGACGTCGTTGAGAACGAGATACACTTTCTCGTAGACTGTTCAATCCATGAAACTCTAAGGACTGACTTATTTGAAAAAGCAAGACTTCACATTATCAATTTTGACTCGCTCTCTAGTTTGGCTAAATATTACACTCTTATTACAAATGAAAACATCACAAGAACATTGGCAAAAACTGTTAATAGCATGTTTTTAAACAGAAAAAACTATTTCATTGATTGACATTGATTTTACACTTTAAATTATTTATTATTTCATGTTTTAAAATGAATGTTTCAGTCTCTCATAAGCCGAATGCCGGCTGGGCTATGTATTTTTTAGTATTATCTATTGTATATGTATTTTAGCGTGAGACTTAAATAAATTATTAAACAACAACAACAACAACTATCCTGCTTGCAAAGCAAGGGCGATGATGTGAGATTTTTCAATCGAAACAAGAAAACATACACGTAATTATTTTTTCTTCAACAAATAAAAAAATGAAATTTAGTTTACCTTGTTCGTATTTTTCAAAATATCACTTAATATGAAAAAACTGTGAACAAAGTTGATCCTTGTGTGAGCCCTATAATTATTTACTTTGTCAAAAACTAATGAAATGGTAATTGATATATTTAAAAAACATTGACTATATAAAATAGGAATAATATCCTTGACAACAGTAACTTTTTATTTGAAAACGCATTTTAAGGTCATAAATGTCCAATTTTTTACCATAATTGTTTTCCATGAAATAACCACAACCAAATAGGTCCATCATTACACATCAATGTCAAATTTGCCAATATTAAAAATAAGCCACTTAGAAAACAATTTGGCACACACTATATATCAGATTGCTTCTTTCCAAAACTTCATTGCACGTCACTGCTTCTGCTCGGACATCACTGCTTCAAAATGAAACTAGCTCTGCTGTTTCTCGTTATCTTTGCCGTTGGAGCCACTGCAACAAGTATGTATTTGTATCACTTTTATTTCATATATTTACTCTATAAAGAAAGTTTTGCACAAGGAATGAATTTTAAAAGTAGAGAATATAAGGTATTAAGGTATTACTTTTTGTCATGTCCTTATAACAAAATGATCTAGTTCTGCAATATTTTGATTTATCTTGTTATCCTTATTTTAAGGAACCGACAAAAATTATTTTAAATAAATGAAATACATGCAATAGACTTATGTACAACAATAGAGCAGATAAATTATTATGTAAAACAGGTATATATTTTACAGGTCAAATATTAATTAAAGTATATTGCCATAGAAACTGTATTATAAAACAAGCACGGACGTCGAGTAAGTTTCTGGCGAAAGCTAGAGCATAGATTATAAAGAGGACTGGAAACAAGATGGCAGTCTATTTCAAATCTGCCAACTCACGTTGGCCTATTTATCACTACTGACTCAGTTGTTCATCTAGTTTTACTTGCCTTAGATGCTTAGTAATTATTTAAAGTATATTATAACATACCTATGATGATGTACAGTGCAAAGTGTACACAAGACGGCGGGCCAATATAAGTTTTGAAAAGCCCGCGCCCGCTAACTTTCTGATTGGTCAAGGCGCTGACGTCACAACCAATCAATCGAAGATAAAACTGCGCGAGCAATTTTTCTAAACTCATTTCAATCATTTTCAAACCATTTGTTTGTCAATTCTTTAAGAAAATGGTACTCTCTGACCAGTCTACATCATTATAGGTATGTTATAAATCGTTTATGTCACTATCGTTGCACATATGCCCTCGGTTCTCAGAGATCAATGTCCCTCCCAAGGTCGGGCCATATATCACTGAGACCTCGGGCATATATGCCACGATAGTGACATAACCTCTAAATATTGTTTCCAAAATTATTGTCATTTGCGATAATTAGTACTAAAAGTACTTTGAACAGATCAGCTGCCATTTGCTTGGCTGAATCGTCCAGTCCACAAAAACAGTGAAATCATATTAAAAATACCAATAAAACTTTAAAATCGAGTCTATGCGATACAAAGAGACTCTATTAATACAGATATACAGGTTACAGTCACCAAGATGAGCTAATTTCAGGCGAGATTCGGGAAATAAAAAGGTAGGTCATTCTTCTTTCCAGTCCTCTTAAATAATCTATGCTCCGGCTTACGCCAGAAACTTACTTGACGTCCGTGAAAACAAGCAGGTTTATTGAAAAATACAATATAAATTGAAATATTGCTAAGCTACAATCATTGACTTGATAAGAAGAAAATACTTTGGATTCTAAATATTGTTTCAAAATGAGAGGCGTATATAGCCTTTTTTCGTGAATCCACTCAGTAAAATTACGATTTGTCTGTAACCTGATGTCCAATCAAGATCATTCTAGTGTCTATGTGTTCCTGACACGTTTGGGCGCCCAGGAATAACATTGTCTACCCAACCTTTGCACGCGAAATTGACTTAATATATGACTGAAATCGATCAGGAAGACAAAATTTGACATTCACAAACAAAATTGCTTGTGAAAACTATTTACGAAAGTGTTCCAGAGACTCTAATCTACGTCTTGGCTAAGGTTTTATTTGAAGATACATTGCCTTATGAAGCGGTTAGAGGGGTATAGAACACGGAAACAAATGCTATGTTGAAAATTTTCTATATTTCAGTTTGAACATGTTATTATTACATGTCACGTCGGCCAGTGTTTTATATGGCGATTATATGTATTTTACTTGTTTACATGAACGTAAATCACGACAGGAAATCTGCAGTCTTCCAGGTTTTATCTGGGTATGTATTGTCTTATTGGGGCTTTCCGACTTTAAAACAAACATAACATTAATGGATTTGTGTCTCGGGAAGACTTTTGTAAATAGTTATTATATACAATTCTGAAAGAATATCACAAAATAAATCGCTAAAAATTGTTTTTGCGATTGCGATTAAAGTAACCGCTAGCTCTTTTGTAAAATCGACTCTATGAAACATGGTTAATAAATCGAATTTGACCTGTGACATTCCCGAACGTAAATACGTTTTAATGCACTCTCATTGAACCATTAAAGTTTGTATATGTGTAATCGAATGACAGAGTTGATAACGGGTAACGCGGTATTCATGTGATGGATCCATAGAGGGCTTATATAGGACCGTTTAGGAATCTTACTATTGTCTGCTATTTTTATATGTTTAAGATCCATATAAGGCTTGTAGAACCATGCAGGGAAAGCTAAGAGGGATCCCCTGATTCAAAGCAATACCAGGGAATTATGGGAGCTACTCACTTCTTCTGATAACAACTACGTATTTTTTTATTGAAGATCGTTTTAATATCGATCATTTCAGCAAAATTGCATGTTCCATATTATATACGAGCGTTGAATGAGTACAATTCGTATTTTAGGTGAGGGTTTATTGAAGCGTCTCTTCACCCTGCTAGCAGATGAAGAAAGAGAAGAGATCGAAGGTGGGAGATTTGAGAAAAAGTCATGGGAGAGTGTACTATCTCAAGGTGGTGTATTTGTCTTCCCCACTCTAGCGGAAGAATCAATTGGTTTTGTGTGTCCTGAGGAAACACACAACCAATGGATCCTTCCGCTACTCCGCTATCTAGTGGAAGGATTAATTGGTTTTGTGTTTCCGAAAACGTTTTTTTATCATCCCCTTTAAACACCATCTTAATAACCACCACACAATTTTTGGGGGAAATTAAAGATTTACGATTTTTAAGATTTTTATTTTCGAATGTTGACACACTTACGCACAATAAGCAGCTATACGTTTAGGCAAGTGAATTTTTGGAAAAGCGTAATTATTGATTCCATTTGATGCTACAAATAATAAAACTAAAATTAATCTAAACTAAATCTAATTATCCATAACAAATATCTAAAAAACGTTGCATATGTGACACTGACAACTATGTATGTGATAACACATTAATTTACTTACTTAGTATATAAGTCATTCAGATGAATTCAGATGGCATTTAATCCATAAACGCTTATGATTTAGTCAGTGCATAAACAAAGGGACTTGTAAAATGGCTCTTTCTAATGTTAAATCCTCCGTGCGATCATTTAACTTCGGACTTATTCAAGTAATTAAAACCATGAACTTAAGTGTTACAAAGGGAACGATGTTCATGATGGCAACTTTCTTGGTTCTGACATTGGTACGATTCTTGTTGTTCAGGTATTTACATATATTTCAATCACAGAGACCAACTCACAAAATGAGTTCTTACCATAAGGATTTGTACGGATATGGCCGTACAGAAAATACTATTTTGAATTTGAATGATCAAGGAATTGCAAACTCTAGAACAACACAGAATAAATCAATTCAATTAAATATATTTCACTCTTCCACTGAAAGCTCCAAGGGATGGAAACATACAAATATCAACGACAAATTAATTACTAATGTTAGACAAAAGAACAAAAACAAAAGTGATAAAAACAATATTAAGAATCTAACGCAGACTACAGATGAACATATGACTGTAAATGATGGGAATGTTAAGAAACGCGACACTGCTGCTAAAACATCACAAATAGCAGAACAGTTAGCCCTTCGTACCATCCTAAACTCAGAGCAGATGTGGTGGAAAAGATTTGGACGTTTGGTCACATATTTCAATTCCAATTCCAAAAGATGGTATGAAAGCAGACAAACATATATTCATTCACAAAATTTCTCAACCATACCTTGTTACGCCAAAACAAAAATTTTCATAGATTTTGAAAAAAGTATTGCTAATATTGAAAAAGCCTTGGTAAATGTTAATTCCAAATATGGGCCGATCATTTTTCTCTACGCAGATTCAGGACGATTAGAAGAGCTTCTAAACGGGTGGTTGCTGGCTAAGTTTATCGCCAAAATGGAGCTTCATAATCTAATTGTTGCGACAGATGATATCAAACTTTGTCCTATACTTTCAAAATTGTCAATAAACATAATTGCCATCAACGCTAACACGACCAAATTTCAGAAAAATCAAAAATATGAGATTTGGACTTACAGACTAATCCTTTGGCGACTCCTTGATCTCTTATGGCTACGATGTATTCAACTTTGATACGAATGCGTTTGTTCTACACGATCCCATAGGTCATGTTGAGAGAAATTATCCCAATGCAAGCATTGTTGCCTCTATAACTAGTACATGGCCAAAGAATGTCCACAAAGAATGGGGCTTTACTTTAAACACGGGAAATGTTCTTTTCCGTAAGGAGCTGAATCATCAAGGTGAGAATTCATGACAGCATTTTGTCTTTTATTTGCTGCGAAAAAATATTCAAAAATAATAATTTAAAAAAAGTAAAAGGTCTGCGATAAAAATAATAGAATGGCTTCTAGAGAACACTATACTCCAAGTTTAAAAATGTATCAACTACATGTAGTTTAATTCCATTTTTCAACGTCGATGTAAATCAGATACACTTAATGACACGATGACATTCGAATGTGTATTACTGTTTAAATGATGCACATACAATACTTAATATGGATTATTTGAAACAGGACCAAATGTGGCTTTCTTAGCATCTTGCAAAATAGGTTTACCACCCACGTTAGATATCAAAAATAACACTTAACGACATTGTTTCAGAAATGCAAATTAAGGAGGGATGATGGACATCATTCACATATTCAAGTATTTAAAAAAATATATTCAGGAAAGGGTTATATTTTTAATTTATTTGTGCTCCTTGGGAATATACTAATGTGACTTATCCTCACTCAATCCATTATCAAATCAACAGCACACACTCTTCAAGTAATTCACAAAGCAAAACCTTTTTATACCCATGGTAAATTTCGACAGTTGATGCATCATGATAAACCATGACATCTCATTTCTTCTCAGCTCTGAGATACCAAAATACAATGAGCTTGATTTGGCGATCCTTTAAGAATTTTTGAGATCTTTCATCCAAGCTCTTATTTCATCTAATCGGGGTCATAAAACTTGTGTACATGTACTTGTGCTAATATCTGCTGTTAAATGCAATGCCTATTAGGTGATATATCGATCCATTAAGGTAAATGATTACATAATAACTATCACACTTATTGACAGTTAGAACTCTTCCCAACTGATGTGCTCAGATCACAGAATATGCCTCTTAATATCAGAACATGTTTCAGGTGAAACAGAACTGAGATGCTATGAGTATCAGAATGCAGTTAATATATTTCACCTGCAAGTCTGAACGTTAAGGCACTTGTAGATTGAAAACATTTTTAAACATTTGCTATACCTGCAAAGTAATTATTTTCTGATACATGATAAAGTATGCAGGCACGTGTGTATTTCCTTGCTTTTTTCATGAAAGTATCATTAAATTGTCTTTGTTTAGTAAACCCGGTAACAGGTCAATGGTAACTCAAGTAATGCGTGGTACGTTTGTTTCTTTTTATATTTTGGGCACGAAGAATTTACCTACCTTAAACAAGTGGCCCTCTGACCCTTGCCGTTTACTCCCCTAGGTAAATCACACTACCCTACCACGTGACCACGTTTAAAAGGGAAACAGGGTACAGCTAAGTTGCAAATGGAGGACGTGGGTTTAATTCCATATATTTCTAGTATTCTACCAGACATAGAATTGATTCATCGAGCAGTTTGTATCATATTGTTGGCAAAAAACCATTATAGGCAAAGATAGATAATAGTGGGCGCAGTGAAGCAAAACTCAATGCAATACACGATACATTTCAGTAAATCTATCAACGTACAGGGAGCATGTAAGTTTCCCTTCGAAAATGTTACATTGATATGTAACAAAAAAAACAGTTAACTGTTATTTAAACTGCGTGTCATCGTGTTATATGTGGATACGTTTTCCAGTATGTTATTCAACTGTATTTTTGTGAATTAATTGTTTTTCAAAAATCTTAAGATGCAAAAAACGTCGTCCTAGAAATGTATCTTTACTTTGCCGTTAGGCATAACATATTGTGAAACATTTTTCCTCTTGTCACAAAGAGGATAATGTTTGTTTCGAGATGTCTTGTGATGAGTGTTTCATGATTAAATGCAAAATCACTGAAGCAGATACCATCCAAAAACATCTGACATTCAACACGTCATCTAAGACTACATCGATCTGGTATTAGTTTTTTTTACAATAATAGAGAAATGCGATGTCATATCAGCGCTACAGCAAATCGTGAAGAACAAAATGCTCTCAAGTCGTGGCATGGTGGTATTTTGAACAAAATATTTTAAATGATCGGTTTTTGAGAACAGTAGTGAATTAGACCATTCAAGGGGTTATATAAATCTACAAAATAATGTTTACTTTATTTGGATTAAATAACAATTGATGACACCTCAAAGCATCAACAGGCGGCCTTTTAGCATTATTTTCACTGTTTGCAACGTAAATTCACATGAGATCGGGACATAGTATGTCTGTATAATCAGCTTTCTTTTTCGCTCCCTGTACTATTGAGCAATTTACATTCCTTGTACCCTGTATTGATCAACTTTTGCAACTGTGTACCGTGTACTATGACATATCAAATATTTTAAAATTCAAAACGATATCATTTACATTCTTTCTTCAACTATCATATAACTTGGAACATGGACTTCACTATTGCACCACTGAAGTTCAGCGAATAGCAATATTGACTCACTCCGAGCACCAAACGTATTAACCTTTTGACTAAGCAGTCGAAATACTCAAAAGCGACGTGGTTGAAAGCCAAAAAATTCGCGCATGCGCTATCGAGGTAGGGTAGTGTGTAAATATGCAGAGATATGTCTTTAATATGGCATAATAAACTGTGCCATGAAAATAAAATTATACCGTGTTACTATGTGCTCTATGTTAATACGATTCCTTAATTAGGAATCATCTAACATGTACCTCCTCATACAAACTGATTCCTTATTGGACTTTTTTCAGCTTCATTTTGGGGTTTCTTGGACGAGATGTGCGAAGCACTAGCTTTAAATGCTATTGATGATCAAGCAATGGTCAATGAGGTACTCATTGGTAGTGGAATCAGATGGAAGAACACTAAACATCCATTAAATAACCCTGGAAACATAATCGGCATGACAACAGATGGCCTAGTAGTGAGAGCACTATCTGCAACAGATTCCTGCCGAATAACATGTTCTAAAAGAAAGAAACATTATGTATGGCACACTAGACGTATGTCTGGAAATAAAAACTGGTTGCTGAAAAATGACTGGGAAAAGTTGTTGACTAAAGGGAATAACATAACAAACAGGATCTTAAGAGGTTCTGGACAAATCATTTGATTCTGGACTTGACATTTTTTTTTTCCAACGAAATCACATCCAAGGGTTGAATTTTTATTGGATATTTAGAGAGCGAGTCCTGTATTGATTTCAATAAAAAGGTTAAAATAGAACGCTATTTGAGAGTTAATCTTATACTTTCATTACATTGATAAATTAAGGCAAATTCTGAAAAATTTTAAAGTGCATTTTTTATGAAATATTATCCAAGTATTTAGATGAAACGGTCTTATTTAAATACAAATCATAACATGATGATATTTTTTCATAAAATATTTCTTCAAGAAATTCAATTGAAGGCTCAAGATAAAACGAGCTAATTTAGGTGAAAACCCTTACATGATGATGTGTTTTCATGACTTCTTTCATAAAATTCCATCAAGGGGTGAAAATAAAATGATCGAATTTAAGTGATTTAAGGATCACGAGGATAGGTTTTCTTGGATATTTTCTATGAAATCCCATCCAGTGGTCAAGGTAAAATTTTTATTTGGTATATTTGGTCACGTGTTCGAACCCATAGAACCATATAGGAACGTCATTTTGAATGTTACGTGATAAATCCATATAAGGCTTTTAGAACAATGTGGGGAAAGATGAGGGGAAACCCCTGACACCTGTTCACGATTTTATCCGAACGTTCATCGGATCATTTCGGTTTTTATGCACTTCATTATTTTACCGAAGTTTGCCGATTCGATTCGTCGTATTTCGGAATATTGGGGACAATTTTATACTCCATTGGGAGTATTTTTAATCTACTTCTTAATACGAAGATTCCCGAACCTTGTTCGGATTAATCCGGATTTTCTGACCTACTTCATCTACCGAGATTTAACGAGTTTACATTCGGCTCATTTCGGAATCCTGGTGACAATTTTATACTCCATTGGAGTATTTTTGATCTACTTCTCTGGATTTTTGATCTACTTCTTATGACGAAGATTCCCGAATCAGTTCGGATTAATCCGGATTTTCTGACCTACTTTATCTACCGAGATTTAACGAGTTAACATTCGTCTCATTTCGGAATCCTGGTGACAATTTTATACTCCATTGGAGTATTTTTGATCTACTTCTTATGACGAAGATTTCCGAACCTTGTTCGGATTAATCCGGATTTTCTGACCTACTTCATCTACCGAGATTTAACGAGTTTACATTCGTCTCATTTCGGAATCCTGGTGACAATTTTATACTCCATTGGAGTATTTTTGATCTACTTTTTCTGGATTTTGCCCTACTTATTATATCTTTACAACAAGCAAATCAAAAAATTCGCCATGAACGGGTCTCGATCGACTAACCTAGAGCATGGAAGCTAGGCACGTTAGCCATGAGGCTAACGTGCAACCGATACGAAAGGATAAAAGTATTATATATTTATACCGAGCGTCAATTCAAAATGATCTTCACTTTTGACTGCACGTAAATATAACTCGTCAGTTGTATCCAGAATAGATGAACGCCTATGGTACTAGTGAATAACCAAGTCCCAGGCGAGTGGTTCGCACCCCACCGTGATATGTTATTTTTGCTTTTTTAATACGACAGAAAGGAGCAAGGTCACTGGCATGTAGCGGTCCTGATATCGATACATTCTACACGCAATAAAACCAGATATCTGCGTGTGATTAAAACTACATGTTAGAGCGTCGATATCCTACAAATCCTATTTTTTCATAAAAATATTTTTTCATGAAATCCAATCGAAGGGTGAAGATAAAACGATCTTTTAGATAAAACAGCTTTACATGATCTGGTGATGTGTTTTCATAACTTTTTTCATAAAAGACCATTCTCGGTTTGGAGAACAAAGTTCGTCACTCTAATTGAGCGTTATCCCTGCTTCGGACAAATTTGATTTTTTTACATAATATAGATTTGAATGTCTTCTTTTGAATAGTCATAGTTTAATTTGGGTAATATTTCTAGATTTTTCATATAAAAATTACTAGTGAAACACCCAACGTCGCTTTTATGATTCGTACCACTTTTTTAACTTGGTGTATTGCATATTTCCGTGGGTTGATTTGAAAAAAAGACAAACAACGTATACGAGGGGTGATCAATAAGTAATGGACGCTTTTTTACACAGATGCCTATTATAGACCAATCCCTTCGATTTTCTTACCAGTGATACATCATTCAATTATCTATCAACTCTGAAGATTTGAAGACAAAATATGTAATACATGTTGATATATCCTTATTTCCGTGAAGGAGGTACAGGTACCCCGGGACCGACATTTACGTCACATATTTTGAAGCTATTTTAGCTTGTTTAACATGCAATGCACTTGAATGCAGGCTGAACAAAACAAACCATTATGGTCATGAATTACCCCATTTTGTTATGCCATAGTTGATTTTGAATATTTTATCATCACTATATGGTATTCATGCCACATTCATTCCACAGGGCCCTCTAAATAGGTTCCATCAAGTGCTACATGTACACAATTCTTCATCCTCTTAACTCAAGATTGTGAGACAAGGCTGAATCCATTCTCTGACATGGTAGCAAGATGCAGTTGCATGGGTTGTTTTATTTCATCAATGTCAATAAACCTGCGTCCTTTCTCTATAGAAATAAGTAGTATAGAAATAAACAAGTCACATGTGAGCACATATGGACAAGATGTAGCATTGGCCAAGGGCTCAATTTTGAGGTCCAGTGATATTGTTTTCTGTTTTTTTGAGATCTGTGGGCAGGTGCATTGTCCTATGGAGTAGGGTGTTCCCTTCTCTCACCACCCCTTTCTTCCACAATGCCTTCTCAAATTGACCTGCAAACCCCTTCCATACACCACTCTGACATTACAATACTTTCTGTTTATGTGTTACCAGTCAGCAAAAAATTTCAAACAACACAACACTTCTTGTATATAAAAAGTTCAAATCTAACTGAAATTTACCAAACTGGCTAAAATCTGAATATGTGACGTAAATGTCGGTCCTGGGGTACCTGTACCTCCTTCACGGAAATAAGGATATATCAACATGTATTTTATATTTTGTCTTCAAATCTTCAGAGTTGATAGATAATTAAATGATGTATCACTGGTAAGAAAATCGAAGGGATTGGTTAATAATAGGCATCTGTGTAAAAAAGCGTCCATTACTTATTGATCACCCCTCGTACATGAATATGTCATAAGCATATAGTGAGATAATTGTTAGATTAGGTTTGCTATAAGTGACTTTAAAACAAAAAAATAAAAAACATTAGTTCACGTGTTAAAGTCCCATTGACCACGACATCAAGGAAAATTGAGCTTTTTGTCATCAGACATCTTTATAGATGGAACTAGCTATGTACTACATTTTTAAATACACTCACATTGTACATGTAGCTGTAATATCTAAGATGTTATTTTTATTGATGAAAAGATTCTTACATACTAAAGTTACATTAAAATATCAATTGCAATAGCCACCTGTTTTTAACATCCCTTTGTCACTCATCCCTTAATTATCTCTGTGTATCTTAAACGTGTGTGTGTTCGATGTTGATAGCACCCGAGTGCAACCTAAGGAGCACATACAATACATTTTGTGTATGCCCAGTCTGGCCGCCTTATATCTGCCTGCACCGAGAAATGGGCGCAGCTTTGACAATTAACGAATGATATAACGATATCACGGATTTCACCGAATGTTATTCATCCCTAAATAGCTTTTTTATTTAGTCTTATGATCCGACTGATGTTTCAATTTTTTGCAGTGACTCTGAAATTGCTGCGCCAGATATGACATCACAGCGACTCATTTTCCTACATTTAAATCACTAAACTAAATCAATTGAAACATAATCATTAAAGAATGAGGACCTTGTATTTTACTTTGGACGAGGGTAGTGGCCATGTCTTGGCATGGCTAGTTGTGCATTAACGTTTGATACTGTTGTGCGGATAAAAATAATGAATATGTGTTAAAGTAGCACTAAACAGATACTTTTAAAATTAAAAGAATATAGTTACATTTAAAGAATGGGCCCAACGAATAGATATTGAATATAGGACTCGTTTGATGAAACGTTCGTTCTTTTAATTCTAATAAACCTAGAAATCAATCAACGATTAAGTAAATTGACAAGACTTCATGTTCAAGTTGGCTGAATTTCGTGTGACTTAACTCTGTTATGTTTCTAGATTTTACATATGGAGAACAGAATTCGAAATCATAATCACAATCGTATTTTAAGGCAAATAGGCCATGAATATGCTTTTAGTTACACGGTGGATGATCAAATTAACACATTTTGGATGTTGAATTTCATTTCAAGTTCATTCGAATTTACGCATTATCGTGGGAACGCCCATGGCATTATCCAATAAAATTGATATACAGGGTGGGCCAAAAAAAACCAATACCCAACTTTAAATCAGAATGAAAATAGCTATGTTCAATATGATACATTGATTCATATATCATTTTAAAGGTAATCTATTTTCGAACAATTTGGTATATTACACTATGTCATGAAATCAATATTAAAGTTTTATTATGCTTATTTGGGAGGCCGGGTCGGTATTTAAGGTATCCAGATTTTAGGGAGAAAATAGTAAATCTGCGGAATAATGTTAATTTTTTATTTATAGAATACCATTTTGTTAGGTGAATACATGCTTGTTTATTTGCATATTGTGTGACTAAACTTATTGTTTATGAATTTTAGTGTTGTTTATTATCAGTAAGTACTCAAAGGGGGTCTGTTAAAAGACATTCAACGTATATGTGACAAGGATTTTATTTTCCAACAAGATATTGACTCGTACCATAGATCAAAGGAGACATTGGCATTTCTTTGCAAACAAGGTGTCAATTTGATTGATCTCAATGCTTGCCCACCCAAACAGCCCCGATGCTAATGTGTTTGATTTCCATACATGGAGCCATCTCTAAGAAATGGCACGATCAAAAGCATCCGATAAACAGCATTGATGAGCTGAAACAGAATCC